AATACAAATTTAAGTTATAAATCAATCAGCAAAGGTTTGTAGATCAATTTATAACTCGACAAAGTATTCTACGCGTAGACAAAAGAGTGTATTTTTTGCTAATATAAGAGTCATTAAAATCTATTTATTCTAAGTATAAAATATATTTACCGAAACTTTTCAAAGAAATAGCAAAGTTGTACAATTTACAGCATTGCAATCTCTGATATTTTTTTGAAAAGTTTCTATATATATGTATATATAAGTTCTATATATATATATGAGTCCTACAACGAATTTTAATTCTAGAAAGTTATGCTAATCGAGAATTCATCTTTCAAGTTACTTTTTTTTTTTATATTATTCCTTGCGAACGAATTCATATTAACTTGATATTAATTTTATATGTATTTTTTTTCTTTTTTTTACGATCTTAAGAGACTATCAAGATTTTATTATTATTATTATTAATATTATTATTATTTGTGTGTGTGTGTGTTTTTTTTTAATGAAATGTAATGCAAGGTTTTTAGTATATTTTTATTATTCTAAATAAATAAATCGTTCTTCGAGAGTTTATTTCTTGCAAGTTTCAACCACTGTGTGTTAGTTGAGGCGCCATTACTAGTCTCCAGTTCGCCCTCTTCTTGTCCTTCGCCCTTTCCTTTTATTCCTTTTCTTTTTCTTCTTCTTCTTCTTCTTCTTCTTTTGCTACTACTACTACTACTACTACTACTACTACTATTTAAACTACTATGACTACTATACTACTACATAACTAGTGTATATATTTACTACATTACTACCACATTTGTAGTATCTTCTTGTTATCGTGCCGGTTTCTACAAGTCAAGGACCGTTCTCAAGGAGGTCGCTCCTTTTAACCAACCTAACAACTTATATACCGGGCCTTTGTGTGTGTCTTCGCGTATAAATATTATTCTAATCAATTATCATTCTCTCACACGAATATATCCATCTAATTTATTTTAGGATGTATTACACAGGAAAATATCTTTTTTTCCCCTTTTTTTTTATTATAATACACTTTGAATATTTTCTTTTTTTTTGTTCAATGTAAAATCTTTTTGTTCCCATCGTTCAAATACGCGAAACATTTTCGGAAAAAAATGAAAAGAAAAGAAATAAAATAAAATAAAATAAAATAAAATAATACAAAGAATATAAAGAAAAATACTAGATAAAATTGAAAAGGGGAAATTGAATGTAATCATAAATGTAATATTCATTTTTATCTAAGTCAATCGATTAATGTGATTCTGTCAGGATATATTTGATCTTTCAACGGAAGCTGTGATAAATAGATGTGGTAAACGTCACTTTGTAAAAGAGATACGTATTCGAATTAACGTGGTAAGGTTGATGTGTAACTCTCTTTTTATTTTAATGATGCCATCCTTTCTGTACGCATCCTTCGACACATTCTCGATGTAAAACGGACACGGTCTCCCATCTTGAACTCTGATCCTTTAACGGTTACGACGCAATTATTCGTACCTCTGGAGATGGCAGTGTCAAAGTTCATGACGCGAATAAACTGGCCACTTTTCCTACCTTACATTAGTTTTCCGTTAGGTAAACTTTCATTCTATTTTTCTGTCAAACTTATAACGTATATATATATATATATATACGTTATCCAACATCGTAAACGGGTTTTATTAATTTTCTCGCATATTTAATCACCTTTACGTTATATTACGTAATCTATAAGATAATCATAAATAAACATCAAAGTATTTGAATTTATAATTTCAAACGCGTTGTTTTCCGTTTCAGGAGGTTTCTTTTTCTTTTTTTGTGCTTCTTACGTTACTCGTTTACTGTTATTAAAAAAAACGGGATAATTTGTCATAAGTTTGTATAATATAATCGCATTTAATTACGTCGATACAATACTAACGTGTATATCTAACGTATTCGAACGGTTATTACCATATACGGATAAAAGATTACTGTTAGAAATAGAAAAGTGGTGTTTATCTATTGAAAATACAATCATCTTAGTTCAATTATTTCTTTTTTTTCTTCTCTTTTTAGTTGTATCAATTAGATAAAAATCATAATTGGGCATACACAGTATCCTTTTACTTTATTTTATGCATACATATATATATATATATATGCATGTGTAATCGTTTATTATTTTATAGAAGGAAAGATTTAAGATGCTCTTTGTTCTTTTGATTCAACCGACAGTATGATTTTCCACGGTTCTGTTATAGATTATATCTTTCATGGTCAACAGTACCATATTTATTATCTCTTGTAAATATACAATATAATTTAGTACATCCTTTTGGATTTAATTATTAAATAAAATAAATCGAAGAAATATTAAAAATGTAATGTATATATATATGTATATCACGTGTGGTAATTAAAATTGGAAAAAATTAATTATAAACAACATTGATTATATAATATGATGCATTTTATGTAAGATAAATTATAAAATTCATTTCTGTTGTTCACTTATCTTATAATCAATGGACACACATAAAAATTATGAATAGAATATAACATAAATAATGTATATCGATTAGAATTATTTTTGGGTTGAGTTCATTATCTTCAGATTAACGGATCGATTGCATGGTCAGGGTTGTCTTTCTTCCTTCAATCATTATATGCATATTTATATATTTATATATATATGTATATATTTATACATATATATACTTTGAATGAAGTACTGCTATGTTAAATTAGCATCGTGCATACCGATGACGTAATCGTCGGTTAGACAATAATCACAATCGTGAGTGCATAATACCAGTGACGTTGCGTGTCTCTCGTTTTCTCATCGAAACCTTGTGCATTTCATACAAATGACGACAAGGAAATGTTTCACGGTTATAAAAGAAAAAAAAAGTAATCTTCGATTGATTCTTCTATGATCAATCACATAAATGCATTCTCGCTTAGATGCTGTAACCGATCATTTGTCAAAACGATTAACATCACTATACAACAGAAATATTTATAAAATTGATAAAATGTAATATAGGAATCATTTTATGTCATTTAAATGATATTAAGTTTAATATTACTGAAGTAAATTTATTTTTTGAAATATTAATAATTTATTATTTATTAATTATTGTTTTTAATAATAATAATTATTATTAATAATAATATAAATATTATTATATAGTTTATAATATATAATTATTATTAAACGTGTGTTATATGCATAGATCAAGTAATTCCACCTTATTGTATTTAAATTTAAAACGTATAATACCTCGTTAATTATTGATCGATTACGTCAAAATGTTTATTTTCTAGTTCTCCAATGATACATACAAATGTAATTAATTTCGTCAATTGTATTGACTAACATAAAATTCTTTTCAAATCCAAATTTGGTTAGGATATCCATGCAGGGGCGTTAAAACTCGTGTGTTCGGCCTTAACACCCAACTCGCGTTACTACTTGGTAACTTAAAGGAACTTTCACTTTGCAACAGAATAATTCTGTCTCGCTTCGTTCGTCTCTTTCTCTTTTTTTTTTATTTCTTTCTTTCTTTCTTTTTTTTTTTTGTTTCGTTGGAAAACAGTGGGCGTAAGTAAGTTTTAGGGCACAAATCGTTTCTTATTTCTTTTGTATCTTTGTTGATTCATGCCGGATGTTGCAACAGGCATGTTGTGTTTTAGATGTATGCGTTTAGAATATTTTAACGTTTTAATCCGATGAATAGAGATAGATAGTTTTACAGATGCATAGAAATGAATCAGATAGATCGAGGACGTGTTTCTCTTGGCATAAATACTTTGCCAAATCCAACGATTCACGTTTCATTTTACCTATTTCCTTTAACTTGTAACATTAGGAGAGATACGTGAAATTTTACACAATACAGTATCAGAAATTCATTTAACTCTATTATATATATATATATGTTTATGTATTGTGTATTACAATTATTTTAATTATACGCGATAGGAAGTTATTATTTGTATTTGAATTGAGAGATTTTTTTTTATTAAGACATTAACTCTTAATAGTTTATAATTAGACACATAATATAAGCGATTATTCGATGTCAGGGAAAAAGTTAATATTAGAAAGACAACTTAATATATCAAGAGATTAATTTAACGATGAGATAAAGTCTGTGAAGAAGTAAGAGAGGCCACAGGTGCATCGTACTCGTACGCCTTTCAATATTGCAATCTTTCCTTCTTCCTTATATACCGCCATTTTATTTTCTTCCTATTGATGAATCAACAAATTATTTTCTCCCCCCCCCCCCCCCTTTTTCCTCTATTTATTCATTAATCAAATACCTTTACGTTTATCGTCATGTTATCATGATAATTCATATTTCAATGAATTATATTNATTTTTTTCCCCCCCCCCCCCCCACTTTTTCCTCTATTTATTCATTAATCAAATACCTTTACGTTTATCGTCATGTTATCATGATAATTCATATTTCAATGAATTATATTATTATAAATATTAGAATTTGTATGTGTGTGTGTATGTGTTCTAAACGTAACAACACAAGAGAAGGATTTTTTTTTGTTTCTAAACAAAACCATATAAAAAGATGTAATATTTTTGGGGGGATTAAGTTTGTTACGGTTCGAAAACATCGACATCATGCCGAGTTGCCGGTGGAACAGGTGTTTGATCGTGAATTTAGCTGTTACGAGAGGGGAACATGCGGGAGTCGTTTCTTATGGTTTGAAATCCTTGTGTTATTCCCGTTAAACTCGTATACCAGTTGTCATGTATTTTTACGAAAACTATAACACGACTAGTCTACATTTGTCATTCTTGACAAATATGTTTAAATAAATCAATAAATAACAAGATAGTATTGTTAAAGAGAAATATTTTGAAATTATATTATGGAATAATTCGTATCTGGTTAATATATTACATTCGAGATCGATTCGTATGAAATAAATAAATAAATAATAATAATAATTGATGTCATATATAGTTTTATAAATTATCGTAGAATATTTGATTGTTCACAGCAAAGATGAAACATCTTTGGCCGTTGTTACTGGCATGGGTACTTTTTTATTCGTGTCCCGTAAGTATTTATTTGGAAAAATTGTAATTAGAAATTGAATATGCAAATATTACACAGGTATATCTCGTATTATTGTATATTTTTCTTTTTAGGTCGAATCTTTGAAAGGATTAAGACGAGAAGTATTTTTTCTCAACCTGGAGGACGGTTACTTCGGTTGTCAGGTGAACGAATCAACGGATGTTCTGCAATTGCTCGAACTCTCGAAACTCTGCGATCACAAAGTCGATTGTTATCAGGGTACAGATGAGCAACGTGAAAGACTCAAGTGTACAGGTGAGATCGTTTTACGGTCGATATATTCGCATGGTTCTGTTGGTTTACTTCTATTTTTTTTCTTCTTCTTCTTTTTTCCTTTTTTCTTTTTTACCCCCCTTTTTTTCTTTCCTTTTCACGTGAAAAACTATGTCAAAGATAATGATTGCGTTGTAAAAAAATAAAAAGAAAAAGATAAGAACAAAAAATACAATCTTTTCTCATATCCCGGAAGAAAGATGAGAGTAGCTTATTGTATAATCATGTGACTATGAAAAATAATCTCGGAGACGATACGCAACGTGAATTCACTTACTACCGTTAACTTTTCTATCCTTTTCCTTGTGTGTCACTTTAATAATATACCACGAGATTATTAAATAGAATTAGTATCTTTTTTACTTAAAAAAAAAAAAAAAAAATGCCGTATTTTCTTACGACAACAATTCTTTAATAATAATAATAATAATAATAATTCATATTGTTGTTTTATAGACGATTGTACGAAAGAAGATGGTACGAAATGTTTGAACGGTGTGTGTTTAGATTCGGTATGCCATTGCAACGATGGTTTTGGTGGTTGCAATTGTCAAGTTCCAGGTAAGTTTAAAAAAATCTTAACAATTTATCGTAACAATTTTATATTACAATAATATAATTGAACATATGCGAATGTGTTACATTATCATTTTATTTTAGACGAGAACGAGTGTAAATACAGACCCTGTGATATTTTTGCTCACTGTACGAATACTCTAGGTAGTTTTCAATGTTCCTGTTATCCTGGCTACCAAGGTGATGGTTTTCAATGCGAAGGTACGCATAAAAATATCATATGTTTAATTTAATTTAAAAGAAATTGTACGAACGTGTTTTTCTCTCTCTCTCTCTATCAGAGAATAATATAATAATTGTATAAAATATATCTTTTTTGTTGTTTATTTGTTAGATATTAACGAATGCGAAGTGCCAGCTATAGCGGCACGTTGCGTAGAAAATGCGGAATGTTGTAATCTTCCGTCAAATTTTCTATGCAAGTGTAAATCCGGATATATAGGTGACGGTGAAGTACATTGCGAGGATGTTGACGAATGTACTATACCTGGTGCGTGTGCTAACAATGCTTTGTGCCATAATATTCCTGGTAATTATACCTGTTCCTGTCAGGATGGATTCACGGGAGACCCTTACGACAACGTATGTTTCATATTTTTATTTTATTTTATTTTTTATCAAACTTTGAATCCAATGATGATTGGTTTATAAAATATGGTATTGATAGGAACCAAATAATGTTATTATTAATTTTTAGTGTATCGATATTAACGAATGCAATTACGAAGGAGCGTGCGGTCGTGGTGCAATTTGCGTTAATTTGCCTGGTGCACATAAATGCGAGTGTCCGGAAGGATACGACGGTAGCCCCGAAGATGAGTGCACCGATGTCGACGAATGTTTGAGAAATCCTTGTGGACGTTCAGCACTTTGCACCAATCTACGCGGAAGTTTTCGATGTACGTGTCCAGAAGGAATGGAAGGTGATCCGTCTACGGGATGTCACGGTAAGTTTATTTTCTATATTTAACTGATTATTATAGTCGATTGATTAATATTTTTATGCTAATATTTATTAATATGTATAAATGTATATGAGATACGAACATAAACATGTCGTAATTCTTAAATGTATTCTTTTATAATTTTTTTTTTCTTCTTTACACTCGAATATTTATTATACGATTTGAGTAAAAATGTCAAATGCAATTTAATGATTACGAAAGATTTTGTATTATGGTATTTTCAATGAATTTAACTCTAATGCGCTTCGATAATATAAATGCACTTGTTGTTAATACAAGTTATAGCAAATAAAATATAACATTATATAACCGATAAAAATTTACTATGTAAAAGCTTCGTGATTCATTAGCTATTATAGTTGCAGCACACATAATATAATAGATAAATGACCATTCGTTATATTTACAACTTGCGTCACTTGGATTAGTGTAATGACTAAAATCACTAACCGATTACTAATAGATATAAACGAGTGTGACACGGGCACACCCTGTGGAGCAGATTCAAAATGTGTAAACACAGAGGGTAGCTTCGAATGCAGATGCCAAATTGGTTATCAAATGGATTCCACGCAACGTTGCATTGACGTTAACGAATGCATCCATAACGACGCTTGTGCTGAAAATGCAAGATGCATCAACGTACCCGGTTCATACAAGTGCATATGTCCTCAAGGGTTCATCGGTCAAGGCATGACCCTGTGTGAAAGTCAGTCTTCCCTCACATTCTAATAAACCTTTTTTTTTTTCTTTTTTCTTTTTTCATTAAATTAATAATTATTAATATATTCATCCTATTATTAACCGTGTATTTAATAATTAATAATTAATAGATGTGAACGAATGCGAGAAAAATCCTTGCGGTGAGAATTCCGAGTGCACCGACACAATTGGTAGCTTCATTTGCAGCTGTAAAACAGAATATACGGGAGATCCATTCAAGGGATGCAGTGGTTAGCACTTAGCTTTGAATCTTATAATTAACACATTACTGACCACTCTTTTATTATTCCTTAAAGGAAATTTAAATATATATCACAAATATAATTCTTCTTCGTTTTAACATTTCGTTTTAATTTTTTTTAAAATTACATTCTTTTTTATTCATATTTTATATGGCCAGTAAAGTGTTATTATTGTTATTAATAATATTTAAAAAAATAACAATAATAATAATAATAATAACAACTAATTATTTGATATATCTTGTATTATTTTTCAATGTAATAATATTTATAACGTTAGAATATGTTCTGTCATTAATTATAACGTTATAGATATCAACGAATGTAACGCATACGAAAATCCTTGTGGTACCAACGCTATATGTAAAAATGCAATACCAGGATATGAATGTTTATGTCCACCTGGTTATAGTCCAAAACCTACCCCATCTATTGCTTGTGTACAGGTAATTGTTCTTTTTATTAATTTTTTTAATAATTCATTTGTTATCTAATAACAATGATATTAATAATGTATCATATTTTTAGACCGATGTAACTACCTTATGCAAATCAAATTTCGATTGTGTTAACAATGCCGAGTGTATTGAAGGACAATGTTTCTGTAAATCTGGATTTAAAGCTGTTGGTGCCGAATGCGAAGATTTAGACGAATGTCTTACGAATCCTTGTGGCCCTTCATCAATTTGCACCAACGTAAGGGGTAGTTATCATTGCGAATGTGAATCTGGTTTTATTGGAACACCACCTCACGTTCCTTGCAAAGGTATTTATTTAAAAATAAACAATTGTCCCATATGGAAAATAGATTTCACATGAGATATATTATTTCTTTTCTTTTCTTTCCTTTTTTAGCACCATGCGATGAAGTTACTTGCGGTGAACATGCATTTTGTAAAGCCGACGTTCACGAAGCTTATTGTATTTGCGAAGATGGTTGGACCTTCAATCCGAATGACATAGCAGCAGGATGTGTCGGTGAGTAAGAAATCAAATTTTGTAATAAAACAAAAAAAAGGTACCTTAATTTTGTATTTCATTTTGATTGATTTTTATTTGTCTGTTATACGAAGATATAAACGAATGTGATGCAATAAATGGACCCTTTGGTCGATGTGGAAAAAATGCAATTTGTACTAACACACCTGGTGGTTTTACTTGTCATTGTAAATCTGGATTTTCTGGGAACGCATTTAAACAATGTTTAGGTAAAAATATAATCGAGATTTGAATATAAATTAATATCATATAACGCGATCACACAATATGATTTTTCGGTTATATTTAAAATATTTTATTAGACGTCGACGAATGTTCACGATCCGACGCATGTGGTCATGGTGCTACATGTTTCAACAACGAAGGTTCCTATTCGTGTAATTGTCCAGAAGGGACAATACCAGATCCTGATCCTTATATCAAATGTGTAGGCGTAGTTACGTGTGAGGTTGACGATGATTGTCCTGGAAATTCAATTTGCGATCCACAAAAACGTTGTTTATGTCCAGAACCTAATGTTGGAAACGATTGTAGACGTATGTTTCATTTTATTTCTGTGTATTTATTTTATTTTAAAAAGATATTTTTTTAATATTGATTTTATTTATGTTCAGATCCTTGCGAAGATTTGTCTTGCGGACCGAATGCACATTGCATGTTGTTAAACGACATTGCAACTTGTCTTTGCAGTAATGGATACACAGGAAAACCTGGTGTCAAAGATGGTTGCAGGGATATAGACGAATGTGCAATAAATCCATGCCCACAGGGTGCAGTTTGTAAAAACGAAGCTGGTTCTTTCTCGTGTGAGTGTCCAAGAGGTACAGCAGGAGACCCCTATAATGGTGATTGTCGGGAATCAAACGTGCCACACGTGTGTGGTCCTAGCACACCTTGTCCAGCTGGTGAACAGTGTATCAAGGACGAATTTATTGGTAGTAGCGTTTGTATATGTCAACGTGGTTATACGAGAGATAGTGAAACTGGTAAATGTAGAGATATAAACGAATGCATGGAACTTAGGGAAAAACCAGCTTGCGGTGTAAATGCTATTTGTAAAAATTTACCTGGAAGTTATGAATGTCAGTGTCCATCTGGATTCAACGGCAATCCTTTTTCACTTTGCGAAGGTATTGAGAAATTTCAAAATAATATTCAATCTTTAGTAGATATAATTCGATAATATAAAAAATTTATATAAATTATTTAACCGATGAATGAACGTCTTTTTTACAGAATGCAACAGCATTGAATGTCAATGTCAACCACCTTATAAAATTGTCAATGGTAAATGTATGTTAGCCGGTTGTTCGAAGGGTGAGAAATGTCCTAGCGGTGCCGAATGCATAACAATCGCAGGTGGTGTTAGTTATTGTGCTTGTCCTAAGGGTTACACAACTAAAGCAGATGGTTCTTGCGAAGGTAATTTCTAATCCCCCACACAATTTAAATACAATTATTTTGATAATTATTATTATTTAATAATTGTTATGATATATTATATGTAGATATAAATGAATGTATCGATGGTCATCAAGTCTGTGGTTATGGAGCAGAATGTATTAATTTATTGGGTTCTCATCAATGCGTTTGTCCTCGGGGTTACGGTGGTGATCCTTACAACGGGCTTTGTTCTCCAGCTCAAAAGAGATGTACTACAGATAATGAATGCAAATCTAACGAGAAATGTGTACAACCGGGTGAATGTGTATGTCCTCCACCATTCTATACAGATCCCTTTGATGGAAATCTTTGCAAGAGTAAGTTATTAGATAAATAATTAAACATTTGTTTGATCCATGTTACACAAATCTTAAAATACGATTGGATTATTTTCTGTAGACCCTTGCGATCGATTCCCGTGCGGTATAAACGCTAAATGTACCCCAAGTGATCCACCAAAATGTATGTGCGTGGCTGGATATGAAGGTGATCCACAGCATGGTTGTATCGACGTGAACGAATGTGCTAATAATCCTTGCGGTCCTGGTGCATATTGTTTCAATACGAAAGGTGGTCATCACTGTGAATGTCCAAAGGGTATGGCAGGTGATCCTTATACCAATGGGTGTAACGGTGTAGCTGTTGCAAGAACTGAATGCACATCGAACGACGATTGTGAAAATTATCTGGCATGCGTTCACGGTAGTTGTATTAATCCTTGTGACAATATACGATGTGGACCAAATGCGTATTGCGAACCTGATAAACATGCTGCATGGTGTCGTTGTGTGATTGGATTTACTGAAGGAAGCAATAACGAATGCGTATCGCGTAAGTAATGCATTTTATTTATAAAAAAGAAAAAGGTTTTTTTTCTTTCGTTGATGCATTAGGGTTCATACCATATACATTGTTTTGTGTCATGCAGAATGCGATGGTTTCGTATGTGGTGCTGGTGCCCAATGTATTGTCAGTTACGACGGACCAACTTGTAAATGTATAGAAGGATTTATGGGTAATCCATTTCCCGGAGGCCAATGTGTGCCGGATGTTTGTTCAGCGGAAATTCCATGCGCTGCACCTAGTATTTGTATAAGTGGTCGATGTAAACATCGATGTGAAGGCATCGTTTGTGGTATAGGTGCAACTTGTGATCCAACAACTAACAAATGCGTCTGTAATCCTTATTTCGTTGGTAATCCTGATCTACTTTGTATGCCACGTAAGTAATTATTGTTTTATAATCTATTTTGATATTAATATCATGAAAAAATCAAATTCATCAAACATTTGTGTATACAAATAGCTATTGCACCGCCAACTTGTAATCCGGACTGTGGTAAAAATGCACACTGTGAATATGGACTTCAAGAATCTAAATGTATTTGTAATCCTGGAACAAGTGGTAATCCTTATCATGGTTGTGAAATTCAATATAAATCCGATTGTTCTACTACCGTTTGTGGCAAAGATGCTCATTGCAGTACAGCAACTAATGCAGTCGAATGTGTTTGTCCCCCAGGATATGCTGGGAATCCATATATTCAATGTTTCGGTTTGTAAAAACATTTGAAATTACAGTTAGATTATATACAAATATTCGTATAATAACAATGTACGGTTTGTATTTTTGTTGTAGATATCAACGAATGTAATGGAAATGCATGTGGTACCAATGCAGTTTGTATTAATACGATAGGAAGCTATGATTGTCGTTGCAAAGAAGACTTTTTTGGAAATCCTTTTGTCGGATGTCAACAAGTACAAACGAGTCCTTGTACCGATCCATCAATTTGCAGTTGTAGCGAAGCATTACCGTGTCCATTCGATTATAGCTGCGTTAATGGCAAATGCATCAATAAATGTAACAATATCAAATGTGGTCCTAAATCAATTTGTCAAGATGGAGCTTGCTTGTGTCCACCAGGATATACAGGAAATCCAAATGATCATATCAAAGGATGTCTTTTACGGGGTCATTGTTCCAACGATTTGGATTGTGAAACTCAACAAATTTGTTTCCAAGTTGGTAAAGGCACTCGAAAGTGTGTCGACGCTTGCAGTAAACTTCAGTGTGGACCTAATGCTTTATGCATTACTCAAAACCACGTGTCATCTTGTTTGTGCATCGATGGATATCAGGGTAATCCTAGTAATCTCGTTAATGGATGTCTACCAGCTAAATCATTGATAACACCAGGCTGCGTTGATGATTCTGATTGCCAGACTGGTTTTTCATGCGTTGTTTTCGACAATGGTGTTAGAGATTGTGTAAATCCATGTAGTAAAGTCGTGTGTGGTGCTCATCAAACCTGTGTGCCTGACATAGTTCCTAATCATGCAACATGTAAATGCCAAGAAGGATATGAATGGAATCCAGTGTTGTCTTCTTGTGAGAAACCATCAGTGCCTAGTTGTATATCGGATGATGATTGCCATATAACAGAAGCTTGCAGACCTGATGTACTTGGTGTTCTTAAATGTGTTCCCGTTTGTTCCGATTTCACATGTGTTTTAAATTCTCATTGCATTGCCGAACATCACCGAGGACGTTGCGAATGTTTGGCAGGATATGTGGGTAATCCAAATGATCGTAGAGGGTGTGTGCATCCACGTACCAATAAATGTTCCAGTGATAGTGAATGTCCAGAAGATCAGGCCTGTAGATCTACCACGGAAGGTAAATTATTATCATTTGATTTTCATATTATATCATTTGATTATAATGTCTTCATTCAATAAGTATTTCCTTTATTTTATTTTCATCAAAGGTACATTGACTTGTCAAGCAGTCTGCAACTTTATTACTTGTGGTCCTAATGCACTTTGCATCGTGAACAATCATGTTGCCAATTGTGAATGTCCACCTGGATTATACGCCGGAGATCCAAATGATCGTAGCAAAGGTTGTCTCGAAGTACCATGCGTATATAACATCGATTGTCCACTTACGCAACTTTGCAATCGTCTCACGCACACATGCTACGACGCATGTGACGAAAATGCATGTGGTATAAATGCTGTTTGCATTGCTGATGACCACAAAGCGATTTGCCAATGTCCTCCTGGCTTAAAACCTAATCCCGTAGCTGATGTTGAATGCGTTGCGATAGAAACTTGTAATCCAAATCCTTGTCACTCATCAGCATTCTGTGTTCCGGGAGCATCTAACAGTCCTACCTGCCAATGTCCTCCTAATTACGTCGGTGATCCTTATAGTACTGGCTGCCAACCAGAAGGCTATTGTAATAGCAATAAGGACTGTCCTACACATTCAACATGTTATAAACATCAATGCATCAACCCTTGTGAGAATGCTTGCGGTGCCAATTCTGTATGCGAAGTGATCAATGGAGAACCAGTTTGTAAATGCATCCATAGATTTATTCCTTCATCTAAGAGTCCAGAAGATGGTTGCATTCGTGCTACAAATTATTGCAGCACCGATACTGATTGTGTAGATAGCGTTTGCCTTGACGGACAATGTACAGGTATTGTTTATACATCTTTTAAAAGTAACAATATTTTAATTTAGTATTAGCTTTTTAATTCTTTATTAACATTCCAATTTTGTGCATTTTAGCTGTGTGTAGATCTATTTCCGATTGCTCCGATGGTGAAAAATGTATAAATAATAGATGTTCAGTGCCTTGTGTTACCCATTCTCAGTGTCAGCCTGATCAAGCTTGTATGAATGGAGTCTGCATTTTGGGTTGTCGAAATAACAAAAATTGCCCGTCTTATGAATCGTGTATAAACAGCAAATGTCAAGGTATGACAATTATCAATCGAAATTTATTATAAATTCAACAAATAAAAGATATGTATTATTAAAAAATATTTATATTTTAGATCCGTGCAAAAAGAAAGATGTTTGCGGATCCAACGCTATTTGCAGTTGCGTCAATCATGCAACAATATGTTCCTGTCCATTAGGATTTCAAGGTAATCCAATCCCAGAACAAGGCTGTGTCAGAGTACCAAATTCGTGCGATGGTCCACAAAATTGTCCAAGTCAGCACGTTTGTGTTTCTGGATTATGTCAGTGCCAATGTAAAGAACAAAATAATTGTGCTAAAGGGGAGCGTTGTAAAAATGGCGTATGCGTAAAAGTATGCTACAGTGATAGTAATTGTTTGCCTGGTGAATTGTGCGTGGATGGAACGTGCGAAGCCGGTTGTTCATCCGATGCCAGTTGTAAGTCGGATGAAGTGTGTATTAATAATAAGTGCAGGTATGTATATATATTTCCACTTGTATTTTAATGTTTAGCATTTTAAGCTTATTATTACTTTATTTATCGTAATATTTTAGGTGTAGTCATGGATTCATCGATGGTCCTGAACATTGTTTAGATATAAATGAATGCGAAGAACATCCATGTCATCCTAGTGCAGAATGCGTTAATCTTCATGGTTCATATCGTTGCGTATGTCCACAAGGTACCGCAGGTGATCCAGTAATATCAGGATGTGTGATACCACATCAATGCACTTTAGATACAAATTGTCCAGAAACACAATCCTGCATTCAGCATAACTGTTCAGACCCATGTTCTTTTGTTGATTGTGGCTTAAATACTATTTGTACTGTTGTCGATCACGCAGCTACTTGTCAGTGTCAACCAGGATATATTGGTGACAGTAGTGGTTGCTTTAAAGTAGAATGTTTAACTAACAATGATTGTCCATCTGATAAATACTGTAATCAGGAAACCAATAAGTGCAGTAGTAAGTATATCATAATGGTATATAAAAAAAAAAGGATTTCAAGATGAACAGTCATTGTATTTGTTCATTTATTTTGCTAGGTCCTTGCAATCAAGTAAATTGTGGCTATGGTAATTGCGTATCAATCGATCACACTGGCATTTGTAAATGTTATCCCGGTTTTGTTCTTGTGGATGATATTTGTGTCGATATCAATGAATGCCTGCAAAATGCATGTCACGCAACAGCAATGTAAATATTAATCGTGTCTCAATTAATATTTGTGTGATAAAAATATATATGCATATATTTTAATTACATTTACAAATTATTATCTTTAGCTGTCAGAACACAGAAGGATCGTACATTTGCGTTTGTCCACATGGATTGGTGGGTGATCCAATTCAATCAGGTTGTAAGCAACCAGGTGATTGTTTCGCGGATTCTGATTGCCCTGCTACAGCTGCTTGCGTTGATAACAGGTGTACGAATCCTTGCGATGCATCAAAGGTCTGTGGGAAAAATGCTAAATGTTTCGCACGAGGACACATACCAATTTGTAAATGTCCCGATCAAACAACCGGGGATCCGTCAGTAAGTTTCGATTAGGGCGATTATATTGAAATTAACATTTAATTATTATTTAACGAATTTTGTTCATGTGTATACATTTTTCTACGTTCCTTAGGTGGAATGTATTTCTTTGGAATGCAACTATCACAGTGATTGTGGTCAATCGGATGCATGCTTCAATCATAAATGCGTAGATCCATGTTCTGTTTCAAACGTTTGTGGACATGGAGCTGATTGTTCTTCACTTAATCATAGTGCAGTTTGTACTTGTCAACCTGGTGGAACAGGTGATCCTAATCTCGGTTGTACACCAGTACAATATTGTAAAACAGATTCACAGTGTGCAACGGGTTCAGCTTGTAATGGTGGTATATGTACAGGTATGAGAAGTATTACGAATTAATTTATAAAATGGCACTAAATCTGCTGATGTTTATAGAATATTTTTGTTGAAACACTCTATACAAATTTTTCAGCACTTTGTAGTAGTACAAGGGATTGCATTGGAGATCAACTTTGCATTAATGGACTTTGTCAACCTACGTGTAAAAGTAATTCTAGTTGTCCAGACTATCAATATTGTCATAATAATATTTGCATTCAAGAATTACGTTGTATATCTGACGATGATTGTTCTTACGATGAAAAATGTATTAAAAATAATATCGGACAAGTACGTAAATATTTTTATATTATGACATCGTAGATTAGAATAATAATATTTCATATTTTTATAATATCACATATTTATTTTTTGTTAGGCCGAATGTCGTAAAGTATGCGATTTAACATTTTGCGGACGTAACGCCGAATGTAAATCTGACAATCATGTTGCTTCGTGTTCTTGTCAATCCGGTTTCTTTGGTAATGCTAAAGACGATAAAATAGGCTGTCAGCCTATAGAATGTGAAACAAATGATGAATGTAGCGATGAAAAGATTTGTGATTTGTACAAATGCAGAATTGCTTGTCTTGCACATAATCCTTGTGGAGTGAATGCTATTTGTACTGCAGAAAAACATACTCAAGTAAGACTTGAACAAATAGATTTTGCTGTTTCTTTGATAGTTTTAATCCAGAATGAAATTCATATTAATTATGTCTTTGTGTAGATTTGTACATGTCATCCCGGATATACTGGAGAACCGACACTAGGTTGCACATTAGTTGATTATTGTGCAAATGCACCATGTGCGCCTGGAGCCTTATGTGAAAATTCTCGAGGATCTTACAAGTGTCACTGTCAACCTGGCACTATTGGTGATCCTTATAACAGTGGTTGTCAACAACCTGTTGAATGTTTACAAGACGAGGATTGTCCATTAACAGCAAAATGTATTAGTGTTAACAATATACCTAAGTGTTTCGGTTAGTACATTATATTTACGTTTATATTATTGCAAACTAAAAATGAACAATTGTGCATTAATGTATTCATAAATTTCAGATGTCTGCGGAAAGATACAGTGCGGACCAAATGCAGATTGCGTTGCAACTAATCATGCAGCTAGTTGTCAGTGTCGAACCGATTACGAAGGAAATCCTAACAGTCTGAGTATTGGATGTCGTCCTAAATCTATTCTCTGTTCGTCAGCTAATGATTGTTTGGCCAACACTTATTGCTACGAGGGTATTTGCCGACGTAAGTTTGATTATCTTTAAAGTTATTGCTAATTTTTATTGTCTTTTTATTTATACAATAAATATAATACAATCGAATATTTATTATTTGTAGCATTGTGCCAATCCGACGAAGAATGTAACTTATCTGACGTATGTTTAAACGGACAATGCTTAGATCCATGCGACATAAGAGCAGCATGTGGCATCAATGCGGAATGCAATGTAAGAAATCATATCAAACAGTGCAGTTGTCCACTTGGATTTACTGGTAATTCTGAAGTGGAATGTGTAAGACGTAAGTTAATGATTTATTTATTTATTGAATAATGTTGAAAGTAAAATTCCCCAAGGATTCATCATATTTGTAATCGCTCGTAATAAATATTTATCTTGCAGTACCGGTTTCTTGCAGTGGTAGCAACGATTGCAATGAAGGTAATACTTGTCGTGATAACGTATGTTTGCCAATATGTTCAACGGACAACGAATGTGCATTTAATGAAAAATGTATTTATGGAAATTGTTTGTTAACCTGTCGACTTGATAACGATTGTTTCCTTGGCCATATTTGTTTGCAAAATATGTGCTCCTTCGGATGTCGCGTGGATGAGGATTGCAATGCAAATCAAGCATGCATTTCAAACAAGTGTGCCAATCCGTGCGAAGTTACACCATGTGGACCAAATGCAAAATGCACTGTTTTTAATCAACGAGCTACTTGTTCTTGTCCTTCTGGATTTATACCAAATCCAACAGCTAAAATTGCTTGCTTAAGATTACCAGGAAGAGTATGTCAAGCGAACAGAGATTGTGATACAGGAACAGCATGTATTTCTGGAATTTGTACACCTGTTTGCTCTACAAATGCAAATTGTTTGAGTAACGAACGGTGCGATAGTTCAGGAATTTGTAAATCACTTTGTAGAAGAGACGAAGATTGCAGGAGTGGTGAAATTTGTGAAGGACTTATTTGTACTATTGGCTGTCGCTCTGATATCGAATGTCAAGATAATTCTGCATGCATAAACAATCAATGTACAGGTCAGTTTTTCATTTAATAATATTATCATTAATGTTTTTTATTTACAAAAACATAGAACCAAGTCATATTAATTATTGGAATGCATTCGTTGTTGTAGATCCTTGCACCTTATCAGATTCATGCGGAGTTAATGCAAAATGTACAGTTATTGACCATCACAAAGTATGCACTTGTCCTCCGCGATTAGTTGGAGATCCATTCGTAGGTTGTAAACAGGCATTCCTTCCTTGTGCAACTGAACAAGATTGTTTATCTGGGCAAACATGCTACGGGAAATCTTGCTACACGAAATGCAGAAGGTAATTAGGTGAATTATATTGCAGAAGAGTGATCAAGATTTTAATCAAATATTTATTTAATACAATTCTAGTGACGTGGATTGTTTGAACGACGAACGTTGCGATAATGGAATTTGTAAAGCAATTTGTAACAACGACGGGCATTGTGCTAATAATCAAATTTGTCAGAATCGTTTGTGTAATATCGGATGTCGCAATGATAACACTTGCGCTAAGGATGAGTCTTGTTTGAATAACCAATGCCGAAGTAAGTTAATAATAAGAAATAATTATGAGAATAATATTTCAATATTTTATTATTATATCTACAAATTAATTGATCGATTAAACAGATCCTTGCGAAGGTGGTAAAGCATGCGGCGAATGTGCTGGTTGCCGTGTAGTTAATCACGTAGCACAATGTAGTTGTCCAGCTAATTATTACGGCAACGCATTGTTAGGTTGCATGAAATCTATGATTCCTTGCGATCATACTTGTGAATGCGACGAGATAGGATTCTGTAGTACAAGTTGCACTAGCCAAAGTCAATGTACTTGTGGAGAAGTTTGTCATACAGGAAAATGCAGAGTAAAATGTGACAGTAATAATCTTTGTCCTAAGGTATCACTTGAAAATATTTCTAGTATATTAATTTTCTAAATGAAATAATTGATTTATGGTTTTTTAATTTTGTGCACAATGTAAATCCTATTTATTTTCATTTTATTTTAATTCATTCAGGGATATATATGCGAGGCAGGATTATGTATGATTGGTTGTCGTACACATTCAGATTGTCCATCTTCTTTATCCTGTACAAGCGGACAGTGTATCGATCCTTGCTCATCAAATGGATCTCCATGTGGAATAAATGCACTTTGTCGTGTTTCTAATCACCGAGCTGTTTGCTTATGTCCTGAAGGATATCAAGGAGAACCAAGCCAAGAATGTTATCAATTAGAATGTCATAGAGATGAAGATTGTGAATCGAATAAGCAATGCAGCGAAAATGGTGTTTGTACGAATCCTTGTTTGCAACATGGCATTTGTGGTTTCAATGCACAATGCCGGGTTGTTAACAGAAAAGCACAATGCTCTTGTCCACCTGGACATTTCGGTAATCCAAAAGTTAATTGCAAAATAGGTATGAATTAATTCTTTCAGCTATGAAAACGAAGGAGTACGTGAAATTCTATGTAAATTTGATTACTGATATTTTCGTCAAAGGTGGAGATAGTTGCTTGCAAAGACATTGCGGTGTTAATGCCAAATGCAGAGAGACAGCTAATGGTTTTGAATGTACATGTGATCCAGGATGTCATGGTAATCCGCATGAGGCGTGTTTGTGCGATGGTGGAGAACTTTGTAAAGATGTTCATTGTGGTGTCAATGCCGCTTGTCGTATTTATAAAAATCAACCGCAGTGTTATTGTCCACCAAACTTCCCATCTGGTGATCCCATGCACGCATGTAAGTTTAATGAAAATTTGTTGTATTATTTATGTTTATGTAATGCTCATAAACAGATATGTTTTATCTACAGGATCCTTCTTTTTTATGAATATATAAATGATATATAATAAAAGACAATTTACTCTGGTATAAACAGGTAGCCCTGATACGAATCTAGGAGATTGCAGAACAATTGGCTGTGGAAAAGGTGCGGAATGCATACGGGATGGTACGATATTTGTTTGCCGATGTCCCCCAGGTACAACTGGTTCACCAGATATTGAATGCACAACAGGTAAGAACTAGCCCACTAACTGTTTAACCAAGCAGTTTGATTAATTTTATGTACAGCATTTGTGACTAGTATGCAATACTGACGATTATAGGAACATGGTCTGTAGAATAACCATGTATCGTCTCGTAGGAATTAAACAATATATAGATATATTAATTCAGTGAGTTGTTAACATTGAGAGACAGATGTGATCGGATTAGTTGCAATGAACAAGCAACAACACTGGATATGTTTTATCTGTTACATTTGTTAGAGTCAGCATACATGTACATATATACAATAGGCATACTGTACATAATTACTTAAGAGAAAACACTTACACATATCTCACACATAACTTTATATGTAGAATGTTTATTTCAGTATCCAATCTGTCTTTTATAGAAAGATCAAAGCTAGCAAAGGAACACTTCAGTACTTTAGAGTACAACTTGAAAGATAAGATAGTAGAAGATTTAAGTGAACACTGTATTTAGTCTAGGATTAATACAGATTGGGAACTGCAAAAGGGACATTCTCATATACCCATGCTTGATATTTGCTGAAATTCACGGGTCGTTATTTTCCTCTCTCTGAATTCTATCAGGGGCTTGTGTTGTAAATATTGCTGCTTGCCGTTTTATTTAATTGTAGCCCACAAAATGTGTCCTTAAAATATTCGATAACGTAAAGTCGTTTTCTATACTTCTGTCACAGAACTACCCTACTTCCATCATAAATACAAAGCATGTGGTTTATGTTATTTGTGAGAAAGTTTCTTTTCACAGTTCTTATAAATGCTTTTTCTTTTTTTTTCCTGCCCCATCCAATGACCCGTCGTTGACACCAACATGATACCAACCATCACTATTACGAAATTAGAACGCGAATGCACCAGTGACTTAGAGTGCCCTAATGAAAAAGCCTGCATAAATCTGCAATGTCTGGACCCGTGCGCGTTGCGCGGTGCCTGTGGAATAAATGCCCTTTGCCGAGTGGTTCTACATAAGCCCCGATGCTCGTGTCCACAGTGTTATATCGGTATGCCTAATACGGCTTGTCATCCAGATCTTAAATGTGATAGACTAAGTCCCAGACCTGCACCGAACATTGATTGTTCCCAAGACAGCGACTGTCCTGAGAGTCTTTCTTGCCACTCCCAGACAGGGGAGTGTCGCGATCCATGTTTAAGTTCTCAATACAGTTGCGAAGTTAACAAGAGATGTCAGGTGCGAAATCATAGGCCCATGTGTGTGTGTAAACACGGCTTCGTCGTCAATGAACTCGGAGAATTAACATGTGCACCCGATACGCTGACTTGCGCGAGAGATTTTGACTGTCCGTCAAATGCCGCATGCGTCAATGGGAAATGTCAGAATCCCTGTAACGTAAGAAAGAAAAAGCCATGCCCAGACGGTAAAACTTGCGATGTTTTGGACCACCGTCCTGTGTGCATTTGCACCCAAAACTGCAATCCTTCCCTCTCCATTTGCCTGCGAGACAGTGGCTGCTCTCCAGACTTGGCGTGCCGCAACTATCGCTGTGTGGATCCATGCAGAAACTCCACCTGTCCGGCTGATGCCCCCTGTTACGTGGAGGAGCACAAGCCTATCTGCAAGTTCTGTCCCCCCGGCTTTGTGCCAGATACTAAATATGGATGCATGAAAGGTAAACACCATTTCTCAGCACCAATCTATCTCAATCTTATTCGTGATTTCGTTATGCATACCAATTTCTACTACCAATGCCTTCGCCTTACACGATACATACGTTTGCTAGTTTTCAGGTGTTTCTTCTTCCTTTTTGTTTTTTTTTTTTTTTTTTTTTAACATTCAGACAGCAACATTTTATTTTATTATTATTTAGTTTTACTGTTACCAATTGGTTTAATAGTTATTTTTCGTTTTTCAATAGAGAATTTTATGATTTATAATTACATTAAACGTAACGTTTACTTTCAAACGATCTGTTAAGAATTTTGTTGTCTGGATGTTACGATTACGGATTCCAAGCCATGGACATATTTCCAATACCTATGAATCCTCTGTTATTATGGTACTCTGTACCATTTTCCTCTTCCTTACAGCTCAAGGATTTTTTTTCCATTACATCTGTCTCTGTAAAAATCTAATAATAATGATATTTCTGATTATTAGCCCATGTCATTTTGTATGTGCATGCTAACTTTGTTAAAAACAACAGTATATAAAAGTAGAAATCTGTTATCTAGTTTAATCCAAATTGCTTTTAATAATTTAACCGATTACCAATTACCCATGTTTCTATAAATTTCATTATATTTGAGATAAAATGATTTACGTTAAAAAATCCAATGGTCGTGTTAATTTTATCGATAAAAAAGGTATATTGGGAACTTTTCTCCCAAAAAAAAAAAGTATCTTCTCTTTCAGGTAAAGGTAAATCTCGATTAATTCTGCGTTATAATTTTATATAAGATTTTAGTTGAAATTTTACTTTCTTGTCTTTAGCCGAATATTACCGTTCAACATTTTCGCAGAGTATGTATTGAAAATATTTCTATGTTAAGGAAAATGAATAAAAAAATAGTCATTTCTTTTTTTTAATTTTCCTTTTTGTTTCTTGGAAGAAAAAATATTCACAATATTTACTATTACACAAAATATAGCACGCCTTACTTACGTAGATCGTATATATTATTATTTTATTTAATAAACTTACTGCATTAATACTATTTTGCATGTTTGCTAATATTTATGCGCATGACTTTGTTGTAAATTGTAAATAGGTAACACCCAAAATTTCAAACAGTTAATTCTTGTTTATTTTTAATGAAATATACAAAAGCTATATTTTTTGTTGGCATAATATAATAATATATATTCAATATAAAAATAAACAAGTAATTAAACCATGGATTCAAAGTTTCATACATTTCGCACAAAAATCATTATATTTCATGCAATAAAAAAAAAGAAAAAATAAGGCACTCTCAAAATTATGAATAATATATAATTGACATTTTAAAATACATTTTTACATCTAAGGAATGTATATGGTTTAAAGGTTTTCATGATAAATATTACGTGATCAGAATTTTGAAGGCTCTTTTCAAACGATTTAACGTAGACTAATGCTAACCAAAATTGTGTACACTATATTATTTCTTTAAAAAAAAATTTTTTAAATATTTTAAAAGGAAAAATAAATTAACATAAATTAATTGCTATATTCGTTGGAGGATATATTTTAATACCAATTTTGGAAAGCATTGGTTTTAATTAAAATATAAAAGACGCGCAGTTTATTATTATTACAAATGTTACTTAACTCGTTGTAATTTCATTAGATCTCAAATGCTCGACACATGGTGATTGTCCTGCCCAGTTGGCTTGTATAGATCGACAGTGTTTAAATCCATGCACACTTGGGAATCCTTGTGATTTTGTTGAAGTTTGTCATGTCCATGAACATAGACCAGTTTGCATTAAAGGTACGTCATTTTATAAATAATAAAAATAATTATTTGTAAATGATACATTTCAATTAATATCGATTTTTATTTTTACAGACGAAGACAAGGTTGAAGGTTGCCCATATTGTCCACCTGGTATGCAATGTGACAAAGTTACAAAAACATGCGTGAGAGGTTTGTATTTTAATAGAACGAATATATTTTGTATATCACACTACAATGCATTTGACTTTACCTTTTACAGCCAATTTGTTAGCTGTAAATATGTACATATTATAAACATTGAGCCAAAAAATGATTAGAAAATATGACGAAGCTTTATACATAGCATAGATCATTTATTTAATAACTTTAATAGAAAGTTAAACAAATGTGATACCAAAAATCTGAATCTTATCAAATAGTTTTTTCTATTTTAATTAATTATAAATATTATTTATACAATTTTTAATATTATTATGTGTGCACATATAAATATACACACATATATATATATATATATATAAATAGTTAACTTACGTCACTAGCTGAATCACTATAAAGACCATTTCACTCTTTACAAGCAAAGCAATAAACAAAGTATCTTTTCATTTTATATCTTTATCTTATGCACATCTTGGGGCTATATGGGCTTTCTCACTCTTTCCATTTAGCGAGTTGCACTAGCAACAAAGATTGCCCCCTGACAGAGGCATGCATTGGAAATATTTGTCAAGAACCCTGTCTAGTTCGGAATCCCTGCGTAGAACACGCAATTTGCATCAACACAAATCATGGAACGGATTGCAGTTGCGAAGAAGATTATCACGGAGACGGATATAAACAATGTGATTTAGGTAACGCGATAAATCATTATTAAGAAAAATGAAATATAAGAATATGTTTGTAAGTTACTTGTATTTTTTAGTGGAGGAGGGTAAAAATATATGCCACTATAATGAAGATTGTCCACCTAACAAATACTGCGACAGATTAAACAGACAATGTATCAATCCATGTTTGGAATTAAGTTGTGGTGAAAATGCTAAATGTTACACTGACAATCACGAAGCACAATGTAAATGTTTATCCGGATACGAGGGAAGACCAGATATTGGATGCAAAGAAACATCAACTAATCCGTGCATTCCTAATCCGTGTGGTTTGGATGCTATGTGTGAAAATGATAATGGAAATCCTATATGTTTCTGTCCAAAGGGTTTAACTGGAAATCCGTTTGAAGAATGCAGTATGTATCTGATTTGATATTAATTTTTCATACGATTATTGGAACACCTTATGGATGGAGACAAATTTTTGTAATAATTTCATTTGAAATATTTTAGTTCCGGAAGGAGACAAATGTCAGAAAAATTCGTGCGGTGCAAATTCAGGTTGCCGAGTTGTAAACGGTCAAATGAAATGTTTCTGCTTACCAGGATACGAGGGAGATCCACCACATTTGCCTTGCGCACTTTCGAAAAATCCTTGCGAATCATCTCCGTGCGGTCCTAACACTCAATGTACTGTTTTAAGTAACGGATTTGCCAAATGTACTTGTTTGTCCGGTTATATTGAAAGTCCTAACACAATCAGAGGATGCATACCAAAATCAAGCGTATGCGAACTTAATCCATGTGGTTTTGGAGCAATGTGCAATGCAACTAAAACGCCACCCTGTTATTGTCCTAATTTAACTGTAGGAAATCCTTACAAAAATTGTTCAGGTATTCAATTAAATATTAATTTATTTATTACAATAATCTTAACAAACGAAATATATATATACATATAATATATAAACATTTCTTAAAAATATGACGTGAATTATTTTAATTATTATTTTTCAGTTCAATCTATGGATCAATATGATCCTTGTTTAGATTCACCGTGCGGTAAAAATGCTATTTGTACGAATAACAATGGCGTAGCAAAATGTATTTGTATACCACCATATATTGGAAATCCTTATGTGGAGGATTGCAGAGCCGAATGTATATCCAATCAAGACTGTTCCAATAATCTGGCTTGTTTCAATCAACATTGTAGAGATCCTTGTCCTGGGGTTTGTGGTTCCAATGCACATTGTGAAGTATCTGATCACATTCCAGTATGTTCTTGTTTACCAGGATACAGTGGAGATCCTTTCCGTTCTTGTAAAATAGAAAAACCTCGTAAGTATATTAAAATTTATTATTTTATTTCTCAACTATCTTGGGAATTAGAAATATTTTATTATCTATATATATATATTTATATTTGTTTATAGCTCTTCCAGCTCAAAATCCATGTTTGCCATCACCATGTGGACCGCACAGTATTTGTCGTATAATGAACGATCGAGCTGTTTGTTCTTGCAGTCCAGGTTATCAAGGTGTCCCACCTTCTTGTCGACCTGAATGTCTCGTTAGTTCCGAATGTCCAGAACATCTTTCTTGCATCAACAAAAAATGTAGCGATCCGTGTCCAGGTTTATGTGGATTAAATGCTCTTTGCCAAGTTATCAAGCACAATCCATTGTGTACTTGTCCTCCCGATTATAACGGGGATCCATTCATACAGTGCAATAGAGAAGGTATAATATTTCTCATTGAATAAAATTCGATTTGTGTGTGTGTGAATTATCTAACAGAGTTTGCTAATATAGTTCCAGGTTTAAAGAATCCTTGCTTACCATCTCCTTGTGGACCAAATGCCGAATGTCGTGTACAGGGTGATCATCCAGTATGCACTTGCATGAGTGGAATGTTTGGCGCACCACCAAATTGCAGGCCCGAATGTTTAATTCATCAAGATTGTCCTAACTCTTTGGCTTGCATTCAAAAGAAATGTTTGGATCCGTGTGCTGGTTCTTGTGGATTAAATACAAATTGTACAGTGCAAAATCATCGTCCGATGTGTCTATGTTACGAGGGTTACGAAGGAGATCCTTTCTCAGGTTGCAGTAAAGGTAAATCATTCAAATAACATTTCATTGTGTTTGTGTGTTAAGTGTTTTATATTTTAATGAAATTTAAAATTTTAGTTATCTTACCAATACCGTTGCCGTGTGATCCTTCACCATGCGGTATAAATGCTATTTGCAAAGAAAGAAATGGAGTAGGTTCGTGCTCATGTTTACCTGATTATACTGGAGATCCATACGAAGGATGTAGACCAGAATGTGTTCAAAATTCTGATTGTATACCTACGAAAGCTTGCATTAATAATAAGTGCAAAGATCCCTGCTTAGGTGCATGTGGTTTAAATGCACAGTGCCATGTTTATAATCATCAACCATCTTGTAGCTGTTTGTCTGGGTACACTGGAGATCCATTGAAATCATGCCACGAATTTATTGGTAAGTAGTCACGTTCACACAAATAATATATATAAATATTTAGAATATATTATATCATTTCAGTTAAATATGTTATTATTTTTGTATAGATGTTCCAAATCCAGAAGAACCATGCAATCCATCTCCGTGCGGTCCTTATAGTAATTGCCGTGTGATAGATAATCATGCCGTATGTTCTTGCCAACCAGATTATGTTGGAAGTCCACCTTCGTGCAGACCAGAATGTGTGGTTAGTGCAGATTGTACTCAAAATACAGCCTGCATCGAACATAGGTGTAAAGATTCATGCGTGGGTACATGTGGATTGAATGCTAATTGTCAAGTAGTCAATCATAATCCAATATGCAGCTGTACATCTGGTTATACAGGAGATCCATTTTTCGAATGCGTCAAAGAAGGTAATTTTGTCAACTTTTGTGTACACCTGCGTGCACGTATTATTCGAAATATAATAATCATATGATTTTCATCAATAGCTAAATCACCAGAACAAAAGCCGGGCGATAATCCATGTATTCCTTCGCCATGTGGACCTAATTCTCAATGTCGTGTAATTGATGGATTCCCAGCATGTTCTTGTCTACCAAACTTTGTTGGTAGAGCACCAAATTGTCGTCCAGAATGTGTAATAAATGAGGGATGCCCTGGTAATTTGGCATGTCAAAATGAACAATGTGTTGATCCTTGTCCTGGATCTTGCGGAGTAAACACGTATTGTAACGTTATTAAACATAATCCTATTTGTATTTGCAACGCTGGATACACAGGAGATCCATTCACAGAATGTACTCCTATTATTGAAAGTAATTATTCATTATTTTCGATATTTAAGAAATTATAGGAATCAGATATTCCTATGAAACTTTATTTTTATAATTTCAGAACCAATTACTACCGAACAACCTCGTACACCTTGTAATCCATCACCTTGCGGTGCAAATGCAATATGCAATGAAAGAAATGGAGCAGGATCGTGTACATGTCTATCTGAATATATTGGCGATCCATATATTGGTTGCAGACCAGAATGTGTAACAAACAATGACTGCGATCGTAGCAAGGCTTGTCTAAATAATAAATGCGTGAATCCATGTTTGAATACTTGTGGCGTAGAAGCTACTTGTAGAGTGGTCAATCATGCTCCAGCATGTTCTTGTATATCTGGATTTACTGGAGATCCATTCAGTCATTGTATTCCAATAGAAACAACATCTCCATTGGTACCAACAAATCCTTGCGAACCATCACCTTGTGGTCCGAACAGTAATTGTAGAATTCACAATGGCCACGCAGTATGTTTATGCCAACCAGGATTTATTGGAATACCTCCTTCGTGTCGTCCGGAATGCAGCGTTAGTTCTGAATGTTCGCAAAACAAAGCATGCATCGATAATAAATGTACGGATCCTTGTCCAGGAACGTGTGGACAAAATACCAAATGTTTCACAGTAAATCATAATCCTATTTGTACCTGTGCAACTGGATATACGGGTGATCCATTCTCTGGCTGTTTACTCATAGACGTAAAATCACCACCGACTGTAGAAAATCCATGCGATCCGAATCCTTGTGGTCCAAATTCTCAATGCAGAGTTATAGGATCACAACCGGCATGTTCATGTTTGTTGAACTATATCGGACGTCCACCAAACTGTAGAGCAGAATGTACAGATAATTCTGAATGTTATAATACTGCAGCTTGCATAAATCAGAGATGTAGTAATCCGTGCCCTGGAGCATGCAGTGAACAAGCAATATGTAATGTTCAAAATCACGTTCCAATTTGCACTTGTCCTGACGGTTACGAAGGTGATCCAACCTTAGGTTGCATACTGTCTTCTTCTCCAAGTAAGTATTATAATTAGTAAATAAAAAAATTATTATATAGCATTTGGGGAAGATATTTTTTAATGTGATGAATTATTTATATAGCAACTGGAAAAACTATAATAAATCCTTGTATGCCAAATCCTTGTGGACCAAATGCACAATGTCGAGAAAGAAATGGTGCGGGAGCATGCATTTGTCCATCTGATCTAATTGGCGATCCATACGACAACGTGAAAGGATGTCATAAGGAATGTGAATCAAATACTGATTGTGCACCTCACCTGGCATGCATTGGATTTAAATGTTCTGATCCATGTCCCAATACGTGTGGTGTTTTGTCTGTATGCAATGTCCAAGCACATGTTCCAGTTTGTACTTGTCCACCTGGATATACAGGAGATCCATATTCAGCTTGTGAAATAGAACAAATACGTAAGTATGCATGTAACTATATTTTTAAGATTCATTAATCGAATTTTTCAGATATGTAATAATTTAAAAAAATTTTGTTCAGGTGCTCCACCGATAGATCCATGCTCGCCATCACCGTGCGGACCCAATAGTAAATGTCGGGAAATCAATGGTCAAGCTGTTTGCACGTGTCTACCAGATTACAAGGGTATACCACCATCATGCAGACCAGAATGTGTAGTTAATGCAGAATGTCCAGAACATCTTGCATGTATAAACAATAAGTGTGCGGATCCTTGCCCTAATAGTTGTGGATTGAAAGCACAATGTACCACGAAAAATCATAATCCAATATGTATTTGTCCTGTTGGTTTCACCGGTGATCCGTTTACCTTGTGCTCTTTTGGTAAATAATAAAATTTACATTTTATATTTTAAGATGATCATTATTTAGTATATTTAATATATTTGTTTGTTTCAGATGAAACCACTAAACAAGTTACAGAACGTCCACCATCTTGTAATCCATCTCCATGCGGTCCAAATTCACTTTGTCAAATAATATCTGGAAGTCCAGCATGTTCCTGTCTTCCAAATTACATTGGCGTACCTCCGGAATGTCGTCCAGAATGTATTCTAAGTTCCGAATGTAAGAGTAATCTTGCATGTCTCAATCAAAAATGTCAAGACCCGTGTCCAGGATCGTGCGGTGTCAATGCACAGTGTCATATACTCAATCATATACCAGTTTGCACATGCATTGAAGGTTTTACTGGTGATCCTTTCACGCAATGCACTACTATACCGCCAAGTATGCATTTTATCAGTTTAATAAATCTCTCATGTATTTTATATCATTATTATTTATACCTAAAAATAATATTTTTGTTATATTTTTAGCAACAGAGAAACCACAGTCAGGATTCCTTTGTAACAATTTACCATGTGGATTAAATGCCATTTGCAGAGATGGTGAATGCGAATGTTTACCGGGATACGGTGGTAATCCTTACGAAGCTTGTAGACCAGAATGTATTCTTAATTCAGAATGTCCACGCGATAAGACCTGCATCAGAAATAAATGCATTGATCCTTGTCCTGGAACATGTGGCCAAAACGCTGAATGCGATGTTGTAAATCATATACCTGTTTGTTCTTGCATTACCAGTTACATTGGCGATCCATTTGTGAACTGTCGCTTGCAGCCACAAAGTATGTTAAAAATATTAACAATTAGTTATCTAATTTATTTATTTTATGAACGATTGGTATAAAATATGACTTATAAATTCCAGTGCCGGAATCTAAAACGAATCCATGCAATCCATCACCTTGTGGACCAAATAGTCAGTGTCGAAATATCGAAGATCACGCTGTGTGTTCGTGTTTAGAAGGCTATCTAGGTTCCCCACCATCATGTAGACCAGAATGTTTAATAAGTTCAGAATGTCCACCGACTCGTGCTTGTGTAAATAAAAAATGTACAGATCCATGCTTAGGATCCTGCGGTTTGAACGCAAGATGTGAAGTTATCAATCACTCACCGATTTGTAGTTGTCTACCTGGACAAACGGGAGATCCATTTAAGAGCTGTTTTGTTCAATGTAAGTATACTAATTGAAACTAACGTGTTACTCTAACAAATTGTCTTACCTAATTACATTTTATTGTTGTTTTATAGACTTAGAACCTAAGGGTACTGGAAATCCTTGTAATCCTTCACCATGTGGTCCAAACGCACAATGTCAAATTGTTAATGAAAATCCATCATGTTCGTGTTTACCATCGTACATAGGCACGCCGCCGTCGTGTCGTCCAGAATGTTTAATTAATCCAGATTGTCCAACAAATAAAGCATGCGTAAATGCTAAATGCAAAGATCCATGTCCAGGATCGTGCGGTGAGAATGCAGAGTGTATTGTAATAAATCATGCAGTTACATGCTCGTGTACAACTGGTTATACAGGCAATCCATTTGTACAGTGCGTCCTTCGTAAAGGTAAAAATCAATATGTATATATTTTATCTTTATTGAAATAATATTTTACAGTTAAATGATATCACGATTAATATTACAGAGGAAGAAATAAATCCATGTGTACCATCACCATGCGGATCTAATGCAATTTGTCAACAACGTGAAAACACCGGTGCATGTATTTGCATAGAAGATTATCATGGTAATCCATATGAGGGTTGTCAACCAGAATGTATTCTCAGTTCAGATTGTCCAACAAATAAAGCATGCATACGTAATAAATGCAAAGATCCTTGTCCTGGTATATGTGGAATTCAAGCGCAATGTTCGGTCATCAATCACATTCCAACATGTACATGCGTACCTGGATACGTCGGAGACCCATTTGCAACTTGCATACTTCAATCCGAAACAGTGCCAACAATTACCGATCCATGTTCTCCTTCTCCATGTGGACCTAATAGTTTATGTCGTGTAATTAACGAACAAGCAGTATGTTCGTGTCAGACTTCTTTTATTGGAACACCTCCAAATTGCAAACCAGAATGTGTTGTTAATTCTGAATGCCCGTTAAATCGTGCATGTTACAAGTATAAGTGTTCCGATCCATGTCCAGGAACATGTGGGGTAGATGCCAATTGCAGAGTTATCAATCATAATCCTTTGTGTAGTTGTCCACATGGAATGACTGGAGATCCATTTTCAAGATGTTATACTATTGCAAGTAAGCGAAAAAGTTTCATAACGATAATTTCACTATTTAATCAATACTACGCGATTAATAATATTAATTATTATATTATTTAACAGTAAATTTACCGGCACCCATGGATGGCAATCCATGTATACCAAATCCATGTGGCTTGTATTCCGAATGTAAGATAGTTGATGGTCGAGCAGCTTGTTCTTGTCAAAATAATTATATTGGACAGCCACCTAACTGCCGTCCAGAATGTGTTGTGAATACTGATTGTCCATCGAACCAAGCATGTATCTCTGAGAAATGTAGAGATCCATGCGTTGGATCTTGCGGGCAAAATGCGGATTGTCGGGTTCAGACTCATATTCCTACTTGTCTATGTCAATCAGGTTATACCGGAGATCCTTTCACATTATGCTCACCGATTACAGGTATAATATCAATAATATTGAATTTATAACAATACTTTTTCACAATGTAATTGTAATTCTGTTAATTATAATTATAATTATTTCAGTACAACCAAACATACCTGCTGATTTATGCAATCCATCACCTTGCGGACCTAACGCTGAATGTGACGCAGGCGAGTGTACCTGTTTTGCCAATCACTTTGGAGATCCATACGTTTATTGCCGACCGGAATGCACTATGAATTCCGATTGTCCTCGTGTTAAAACTTGTATAAATCAACGTTGCGTCGATCCATGTCCAGGAACATGCGGTACAAATGCTCAATGTAACGTTGTCAATCATATTCCAATGTGTAGCTGTTCAGCTGGAAATACTGGGGATCCGTTTAGTTTCTGTCGACCATATTTGCCAGATGGTATGCATCAGAAAGATTATAGTAAAATATGGAATAAAGATAAAGTATAATATCGTTAATTAATGTTCAATATTTTATCTTTTTACAGAAATGGGAAAACAAACTTGTTCACCATCACCCTGTGGACCTAACAGCATCTGTAAAATCGTCAACGATCATGCAGTTTGTTCTTGTCAGCCAAGTTTTATCGGTAGTCCACCTTCTTGTCGGCCCGAATGTGTCGTTAGCGCGGAATGTCCACTAACCCAAGCGTGTCTTAATGGAAAGTGTAAAGATCCATGTCCAGGAACATGCGGGCAAAATACAAAATGTCAAGTTGTCAATCATAATCCTATATGCAGTTGCTCGGAAGGAAATACTGGTGATCCATTTAGCAGATGTTATCCTCTCCCAAGTAAGTGTTCTATTCATTCGATACTTTTCTTTATTTGTTTTAATCCATTATAAACAGATAATTAATTAATTAATTTGTTTACTTTTTACAGGCGTACCACCACCCCCTACAAATCCTTGCATGCCATCACCTTGCGGACCGAATGCTGAATGCCATGTACGAGGTGAAAGTCCAGCGTGTTCCTGCATGCAGAATTACATCGGCATACCACCAAATTGTAGACCAGAGTGTACCATCAATCCAGAGTGTCCAGCTCATCTAGCGTGTATACAACAAAAGTGTCGTGATCCGTGTGTTGGTTTGTGTGGTGTAAATGCTCAGTGTTCTGTGGTTAATCATCACGCGGTTTGTACGTGTCTAGCTGGTTTCTCTGGAAATGCATTCAGCGTTTGTGAACCTGTTCTCAAGGGTGAGTACATATGTTATATTTTTATAACGCTTGCATTATTGTTTAACGAAGAAGTAGATTGGGTAAAATATTATCTTCACTAATGAAACGTGATGAGAAAAATATTAGAAAATTGAAGATTTATACACATTGTACAATTATTGAAATATTTTTCATTTGAACAGTATTAGAAAATCTTTTATATATTTCTATATAGTTATATATTGTTTCATTTTAATATTTTACCAATCTCTACTTTTCAACACAGGTAAGTGCTTTGCTTGTGTGCGTAAAAAATATTTGCAATGAATAATTGTGATGAAAAACAATTTTTCGAAAATCTTCAAAAAGGGAAGATGAATTCTTTTACAATTGCCATATTAATAATAATAGCGATGACAAATTAATATAACCATGGCATTTATTTAAGTTAAGCTTTTAACGCACAAATCTGAAAATCGAAAAGATTGTGCGGATCCCATAGTCCTTGCGATTAATCAACCAATATATAATATTTCGCACGTTTTATTTATTCAATTGCAATTTACGCAATATTTCTTTTCAATACGAACAAATGCGAAATATGATATGACAAAAAATGGTGGCGGGGCCTAGAAACATTAGGCTCTAAGATGCACTCATCCCTAATGAACCCCCATAACAATGAATGACATGCCCATAAGCGTATTCTCCATAACCATAAGATCAACACCACCCTCATTGACAACCTCTGATAGAGCGTACTGATAAAAAACCACGTATAGTTTTAAGATACTTCTCGAATGCACTTTCCCCTTAACATAACAACGTAACCCCGAAATAACTATGCAGGCACCAAATAGAAATCGACCAAGAAAAATGATTAAACAAGTATGGATGTTTCTAGAATTGAAATTAATCTTTACCCACGCTTGATGTATTAACCACAAGCGATAAGATTAAAAAGCTTACTAAAAAAAATTCAACACCAAATAATCGATCACACTGACCCTACCACATGAAGCTACCGAACGAAATATTTATAATTAGATTTTATGTTTTGCTTCTTCAACATTTGCCAATAGCTAAGAAAACTGCACAGCTGAATAAAATATTTAAAACAAAAAAAGAAACAACCAACACGTTACAACCACCAACGCCTTCTCCGTTCAACGCCATTTTGCACAAGCTTCAAACACGTTCACGTTGCATATTTTATTTAAATTTACTTAAAGTTTCTCTTTCCCATAGACACCCCGTTAGATATCAGGAAACCATGTGAGCCTTCCCCATGTGGCGCTAATGCGATCTGTCGTGAAAACAACGGCGCCGGCTCATGTTCCTGTATACCGGACTACTTAGGTGACCCTTACCAAGGATGTAGACCCGAATGTACTCAAAATTCCGATTGTCCCTCTACAATGGCCTGTATGACCCTGAAATGCAGAGACCCGTGCCCAGGAACTTGTGGATCAAATGCCAAATGCTACCCCATTAATCATCTGCCCACTTGTACCTGTAATCCAGGATATACCGGAGACCCATTCAGGCACTGTACCTTAGATATCACCGCCCGTAAGCAATATTTCCTTTGTAGTTCTATAAGAAGACAATTTACAACCTTACAAATTATTTTGCTTCAATTTAATTTACTTCACATTAGAAGTAAAAAAAGGAAGCACTTTGTTATCGCAGTATTTATGCTTCTTACACTCTTTGTAGTTTGAATTAATGAATTTTTCTGTTATATCATATTATTTCAATCCACTTATTATTAAAAAAAAGTGTAAGAAGCATTGTCAAGAGAATAAGTCACATTTCGATTAAGTGATTCCATTTATAATTGATGATTTACTGTGTTTTCCATACAGCCAGCCTATCAGATTCAAATCCATGCAGTCCATCACCTTGCGGATCAAACAGCAAATGCAGAAATATAAATGATCATGCTGTATGTACTTGTCTCCCAAATTATATTGGCACCCCACCCAACTGCCGCCCAGAATGTATCGTGAACAGTGAATGTTCGAAGGAATTAGCATGCATTAATCAAAAATGTGCATCACCTTGCACAGATACTTGTGGAATCAATACTCAATGCAGAGTTATCAATCATAGTCCCATTTGTAGTTGCAATTCTGGTTATACTGGAGATCCATTCACCAAATGTTTCCCCGCTCCATGTAAGAGAAACAATGTCGGACGACATGAGAATTTTTATATTAATTAGTTACATTTATAAAAGAAATCAATTTAATATCGATATTGTCGCTAAAATTTCAGTCGAAATTCCACGAGATGAAATAATACCAAAAGAGCCTTGCATACCTTCCCCTTGTGGAATGTATGCGGAATGCAGAAATATCGGTGGTACGGCATCCTGTTCTTGTTTACCAAATTACATTGGATCCCCACCCAATTGTAGGCCGGAATGTCGTGTCAATTTTGACTGTCCTAAAAATCTTGCTTGCATTAAAGAAAAATGCAAAGATCCTTGTTTAGGATCTTGCGGTGTAACTTCTCTTTGTAACGTTTACAATCACATAGCAATGTGTCTCTGTCCTGAAGGATTTACCGGAGATCCTTTCAATAATTGTTATCCTAGTCCAACAATAACAAGTAAGATTCAAAGTAAAAGATATAACGTAGCAATGTTTAGATCGATTTTAGTTCAAATCCTAAGTGAAAAAACGTATTACACATTTACAGCAGAACCCAGTATCACTGATCTTTGTACAACAACTATATGTGGACCAAATACCCAATGCAACGATGGTATTTGCAAATGTTTAGCGGAATATCAAGGCGACCCTTATATTGGTTGCCGCCCTGAATGTACTTTAAATAACGATTGTCCACAAAATCGTGCTTGTATACGCAACAAATGTGTCGATCCATGCCCAGGAGTTTGTGGTCAAAATGCACAATGCGTTGCATACAATCATATTCCCATGTGTAGTTGTCCATCTAGTATGATCGGAAATGCTTTCGTGCGTTGTTTTGTCCTTGAAGGTATTGTACTTCGAATTTTCTTCACGCTAATTGAAATTCACATAAACACTTTTTCTTAAATAAACACGTTTTTACAATTAATATAAATACTTTGACAAAATGAAAATAGATCCAGTGAAGCAGAATCCTTGCGTGCCTTCGCCATGCGGTCCCAATAGTGTTTGTCGCGAAATAAGACAACAGGCTGTTTGTTCTTGCGTGTCAGGATTTCTTGGTGCACCACCTGCATGCAGACCAGAGTGTACTATCAGTTCTGATTGTCAACTAACGGAAGCTTGCAACAATCAAAAATGTATCAATCCTTGTCCTGGTTCTTGTGGCTTTAAGGCCATTTGTCATGTCGTCAATCACAACCCTCTTTGTAGTTGTCCACCGGAAATGACTGGTGATCCATTCGTACAATGTCTTATTAAACGTAAGACATTTTCATATTACTGGAATAGGAATCAGGCAGATATATTTATATATATATTTAAATTTGAGAACGAAGTTACAATAATCAAATTTTTTCTTTAGCACCAGAACCTGTTATACCAGAAAATCCGTGCCAACCATCTCCTTGCGGTGCTAATGCTGTATGCCAAGTGATAAATGATGCCCCATCTTGTGCCTGTTTACCAGAATTTATAGGTTCTCCACCTAATTGTAGACCAGAATGTATCAGTAATAGCGAATGTTCAAGTAATTTAGCATGTATAGGACGAAAATGCAAAGATCCCTGTATCGATTCTTGCGGAATAAATGCAGAATGTCGCGTAGTCAGTCATACGCCAATGTGCGTTTGTCCAATCGATTACACAGGAGATCCATTTATTCAGTGTACGAAAGATACACGTAAGTTTGTTTCTAATTCGATTCTTTCTATAATCCCGTTCTCTTTTATTATCAGACAAAAAAAAAAGGATAATCTATATCTTCAATCGATGATCATTTTGCAGTCGTTACACCTGAATTATCACCGTGCGAACCATCACCTTGTAGTTACAATGCAATCTGTAAAGAACGAAACGGTGTAGGTGCTTGTTCTTGTCTACCAGATTACATTGGTAATCCTTACGAAGGTTGTCGACCGGAATGTGTAGTTGATACAGATTGTTCACCCAGTCTCACATGTATACAATCCAAATGTCAGAATCCTTGTCCAGGCACTTGTGGTCAATTTGCCGAATGTCAAGTGATCAATCATCATCCTTCTTGCACTTGTATCTCTGGATACACTGGAAATCCTTTCCATTATTGTACCAAATTCGGTAAATACTTTTCTTCAATTAATGAAAGTTTTTTTGTGTTTAACCATGAATGTATCACGAGGTATAGCATCTTTTATTTCAATTTTATAGATCAAGAAATAGAATACAAAGATCCATGCGATCCCTCACCTTGTGGACCAAATAGTCGTTGTCGATCTATTAATCAACAAGGAATATGTTCTTGCTTACCAGAATATATTGGTAGCCCTCCAAATTGTCGTCCTCAGTGTGTCATCAATTCAGAATGTCCGGTAAATCGTGCTTGCACGAATCAAAAGTGTGTAGATCCTTGTTTGAATACTTGTGGTACTGCAGCTACTTGTAACGTCATCAATCACAGTCCAATTTGTGCTTGTCAGCAAGGTTTTACTGGAGACCCATTCACAAGATGTTTCCCCTTACCACGTAAGAAAATATCAATTAAAATCATTGATGATAGATAAAACAGAAACTTTTCTAGAATTAAATCAATTTTTTACTCGTTGTTAAATTACTGAATAATTTTTTTAGAATCTTTGCCATCACCTATACATAATCCTGAGCCATGTTTACCTTCACCGTGTGGCCCTTACGCAGAATGTCGCGTTATTAACGGAGGTCCTTCTTGTCAATGTTCACCCACTTATATAGGAAGTCCTCCTAATTGTAGACCAGAATGTACAGTGAATTCAGATTGTTCGAGCAACAAAGCTTGTATTAAACAACGTTGTGTTGATCCTTGCTTAGGTTCTTGTGGAATAGGAACACAATGTACAGTTGTTAATCATGTTCCAATGTGTACGTGCCTTCAAGATTATACAGGAGATCCATTTTCGAATTGTTATCCATCTCCAGCACCCTGTAAGAATATTATATATATATATATTTTTTTCATTTCTACAAATACCACATGACAATGGTCCAACATTATTGCAATGAATAAATTTTTCAGTGCCATCACCAGTTAAAGATCCATGTAATCCAACACCTTGCGGACCAAATGCTTTATGCAATGACGGTATATGCATTTGTTTGGCAAATTATCAAGGAGATCCCTATGTCAGTTGCCGACCAGAATGTGTTCTTAATAGTGATTGTCCTATGACCAGTGCATGCGTACGAAATAAATGTATAGATCCTTGTCCAGGGATATGTGGACGAAATGCCATTTGCAATACCTTCAATCATATTCCCATTTGCAGCTGTCCATCTAAAATGAGTGGTAATGCATTCATATCGTGCGATTTTGTTAAAGGTATGTTATATAAGAAGAAGATAGATAATTTTAGGATTATTTTTATATCTTCATTAATATACTTTATATTTCGTTAGAACCAGCATCATTAAATCCATGTAGCCCATCTCCATGTGGTCCTAATAGTCGATGTAGACCTATGAACGGTCAAGCAGTGTGTTCTTGTGTGCCAGGCTATCTTGGAAGTCCGCCAACATGTAGACCTGAATGTACAGTTAGTTCAGATTGTCCAAGAAATCAAGCTTGTAGTAATCAGAAGTGCATTGACCCATGCGCTGGTACCTGCGGTCTTAATGTCAATTGTCAAGTTATTAATCACAATCCTGTTTGTAATTGTCCTCCAGACTATACGGGTGATCCATTTACTAGATGCGAACCAATCAGTAAGGATTGTACTCTTTACATTAAAAATTATAATCGCTTGATTAAAGAGCAGAAGTAAGATTATTTTTAATCATTAATATTTGTAACTATTAATTTGTTACGATTAACGATAAGAATGAAGCTCTTTAATGAAGATGATTAATAAGAAAAAGAAAATACGAATTAATATGGTCACGTAGTATCTTCTCTTTCATTAGTTACTTCTCCGTTACCTCCGGAAGATGAATGCCCATCTTGTCAATGTGGTCCTAATTCTCTTTATCAAACAATCAACGGTAAATCTTCGTGTGCTTGTCAGCCTGGTTTCATAGGGTCTCCACCTAATTGTAGACCAGAATGTGTTAGCAATAGCGAATGTACTAGCTCTTTGGCTTGTATTAATCGTAAATGTCAAGATCCTTGTCAAGATTTCTGTGGTTCCAATACAGAATGTCGCGTAGTTAGTCATACAGCTATGTGTGCTTGTCAAATAGGACACACCGGTGATCCGTTTACAGAATGCATAGAAAAACAACGTAAGAATTTGATCATTTATTTTCGTGCATAGTCTTCTTTAAAAATATTCCAATCATTTATATATCATTTCTTCTTTAGCTGATATACAACCTGAACCATTATCTCCATGTTTACCATCACCATGCGGTTCCAACGCTATATGCAAGGAACAAAATGGTGTAGGATCTTGTACATGTGTAAATAATTATATCGGAAATCCTTACGAAGGTTGTCGTCCAGAGTGTACGATCAATTCGGATTGCTCGTCCAATTTAGCTTGTATAAGATCCAAGTGTCAAAATCCTTGTCCTGGCACATGCGGTCAAAACGCCGAGTGTAGTGTCATTAGTCATTTACCAAGTTGCACATGCATATCTGGATTTACGGGTGATCCCTTTAATTATTGCCATCCGCAGCCACCATCTCGTAAGTTCATTACAATTGTATCGTTTGCATTCATGCGTGATTGTTTGTTTGTTTTTATTTTTTTTTTATAAATTTGAAATATTCTTAACGATTCAATATTTTTTTTTTAGTAATCGTTGTCAAAGAACCATGTAATCCTTCCCCTTGCGGGCCCAATAGTCAATGCCGTGTGATAAATAATCAAGCAGTTTGCTCATGTCTTCCTGAATATGTTGGTAGTCCACCAAGTTGTAGGCCAGAATGTGTCTTAAGTTCAGAGTGTTCTCTAAATCAAGCATGCAAAAATAAAAAGTGTGTGGATCCCTGTATTGGTACTTGTGGCGTTAATACAATTTGTAAGATTGTTAGCCATAGCCCAATTTGCGCTTGTAAGAACGAATTTACTGGTGATCCTTTTACTGTTTGCTTCCCCATGCCAAGTAAGATTACAGTTTTTTTTGTTATAAATTACATTTATTATTAACCAGTTAATATACGCCATAAATGTTAATAGAAAAACCATATATTTATTAATTACAATTCTTATATATTTGAATATTTTGAAAAGATAGTATGTGGTTTTTCTAATTTTTAGAATGACCAATTCATAAGAAATCTTTTCAGAGAATCCAATTGTAACGACATCAGTTCAAAACTCATGCGTGCCATCCCCATGTGGCCCATATTCGGAATGCCGCGATATTGGAGGTTTCCCATCATGTGCGTGCTCTACAAATTATATAGGAAGTCCACCGAATTGTAAACCAGAATGCACGATTAATTCTGAATGTACTAGCGACAAAGCATGCATGCAAGAAAAATGTAGAGATCCTTGTCCTGGTTCATGTGGATTGGGTGCAGTTTGCGATGTGATCAATCACACGCCAGTTTGTACTTGTCCCAATGGTTTCACGGGTGATCCTTTTAATAATTGCCAATTAATGCCAATCCAACGTAAGAATTTTTATATTATTGTTATAAATTAATGGAATCACATAGTTATATTCTAAATCGATTGATATAAATTTCTATTAATTATTATCTATAGCAATTGAGGACACACAAGTTGATCCTTGCAATCCTACACCTTGTGGAACAAATGCAGAATGTAATAATGGTGTATGTATTTGTTTATTGGAGTACCAAGGAGACCCATACACTCTCTGTAGACCTGAATGTGTTCTGAATAATGACTGTCCATTTGATAAATCTTGCATTCGTAACAAATGTACAAATCCTTGTCCTGGTACATGTGGACAGAATGCAATATGTAATGTGTATAATCATATTCCTATGTGTAGTTGTCCAGAACGAATGTCAGGAAATGCTTTTGTCCTTTGTTCAGTTATGCTAGGTACGTTTTAAAATCCAAGTTTGTTATAAATAATAGCTTTTCTTTCATCTACTTTTTTCATATGTAGGTTTTTTAAAATTAACTTTTTAATTATTCGACACATTTCTTATAGATATTGAAAGAGATCCTTGCAAACCTTCACCTTGTGGTCCAAACAGTCAATGTCGAGTTATAAATAATCAAGCAGTATGTTCATGTGTGCAAGGATATTTAGGAAGTCCACCATCGTGCAGACCTGAATGTGTTCTCAGTTCAGATTGTCCACGAAATTTAGCTTGCAGTAATCAGAAATGTATAGATCCTTGTCTCGGTAGTTGTGGTATTAGAACAACGTGTCAAGTTATCAATCACAATCCTATATGTAGTTGTTTGTCAGGACATACAGGAGATCCATTTTCAAGATGCACTTTAATAAGTATGAGAACTTTAATATCTTCAGATCAAAATATCTCCTTATATAATGTATTAGAATATTTCTGATTTGTTTTAATATTTGATATATTTCTCTCGGAATAGTTGAGGAACCAGTAAAAGTACCAACGAATCCATGTCAATCATCAGTTTGTGGTCCAAATTCACAATGTCAAGTTGTGAACGATTTACCTTCATGTTCTTGTCTTCCCGAATTTATTGGATCACCACCGAACTGTAGACCTGAATGTATCAGTAATAGCGAATGTAACAACAATCTTGCTTGCATCAATCAAAAATGCAAAGATCCTTGTCCAGGTTCTTGTGGTACTAACGCAGATTGTCGTGTTGTGAGTCATACACCTATGTGTGTTTGTCATACTGGATATAGTGGTGATCCGTTTACGCAATGTATCTTTAAAGAACGTAAGAATTTTTGCACAGGTTAAAAAAAAACAATATCCATTTAAATAGAATTTGTATAAATTTGAAAATTATTTTATCTGTAGCATCATTAAATGATCGTGTCACATCTTGCATACCGTCACCATGTGGACCAAATACCGTTTGCAAAGAACAAAATGGTGCTGGTTCTTGCACCTGTTTATCAGGATATATTGGAAATCCATATGAAGGTTGTCGTCCAGAATGTGTTCTTAATTCGGATTGTACCTCTGATCTCGCGTGCGTTAGAACAAAATGTCAGAATCCATGTCCTGGAGCATGCGGACAAAATACGATGTGTAACGTAATTAATCATTTGCCTGCGTGTACGTGTATTCTTGGATATACAGGAAACCCGTTCACATATTGTTCACCAATTTTACAAATCGGTAATATAAATCTATCAGTTCTTAGACGTTTAATAATAACAGTTAACAAAATCAAAAATAATTTCAAACGATTCAAACAATATTTTATCTCAAATTTTCCAATAGATACGATTAAAAAAGAACCGTGCAAACCATCACCGTGTGGTCCGAGCAGTCAGTGTCGTGAAATAAACGATCAAGCAGTTTGTACTTGTTTATTGGGATATGTAGGAAGTCCTCCAGGATGTCGTCCAGAATGTGTCATGAATTCGGAATGTCCATTTAACAGAGCTTGCGTAAATCAGAAATGCATAGATCCGTGCCCAAAACCTTGTGGTACAAATACGAATTGTGTGGCATTAAATCACAGCCCTATTTGTACGTGCAAACAAGGATATACAGGAGATCCTTTCACGAGATGTTTCCTTTTATCAAGTAAGATAGTGTTTACAGTTAGAGATATTTGTTCTTCTATATCTATCGGTATAGAATAAACGTGATTTTTATTTTTAGCACCATCCGTTAATCCACCAACACCACAGAATCCATGTTTCCCTTCACCTTGTGGACCATACGCACAATGTCGCGAAATTGGTAGTATACCTTCCTGTTCTTGTCTTTCAAATTACATCGGTAGTCCACCAAATTGTAGACCCGAGTGTACCATTCATTCTGATTGTGCTAGTGACAAGGCATGTATTAATGAAAAATGTCAGGACCCTTGTCTCGGATCTTGCGGTATTTCAGCCATTTGTACGGTCATCAATCATACACCTTCATGTTCTTGTTCAAATGATTACACTGGTGACCCATTCAATAATTGTTATTTTAAACGTAAGCTAAATTTATTGTTTCTATGCTTACGATAGAATATTAAAAATAGATGTGTAGTAACAAGTATTTTAATTATAGCCGAAGAAAAACCACAGTTAGAAGCAGATCCTTGTTTCACATCACTCTGCGGTCCAAATGCAATTTGTAACAATGGAGAATGTAAATGTTTAGCTGAATATCAAGGAGATCCATACATTGGTTGTAAACCAGAATGCATACTTAATGCAGACTGTGATGCATCCAAAGCATGCGTACGAAACAAATGCATAGATCCTTGTCCGGGTACTTGTGGTCAAAATGCACAATGTACTATTTACAATCATATGCCAATGTGCAGTTGTCCTTCTGGTATGACAGGAAATGCATTCGTTTCCTGTCACGTAATCACAGGTATAGATTAATTTATAAATGAATATTAAACGTATTTTGTGTATATCTTAAAAAAATATTTATAATAACATGACCATTATATAGGACCGGAGGATCCTTGCAATCCATCACCGTGTGGGCCAAATAGTCATTGTCGTGTAATAAATAATCAACCAGTTTGTTCCTGTATTAGTAATTATATTGGAATGCCTCCATCGTGTCGACCAGAATGTATCGTTAGTTCAGATTGTACAAAAGATCGGGCTTGTAGTAACCAGAAGTGCATAAATCCTTGTCCAGGAACATGCGGAATAAAGGCAACGTGTCAAGTGATAAATCACAATCCAATTTGTAGTTGTTCTCAAGGTTTCATCGGTGATCCTTTCGTAAGATGCGAACCAAAACGTAAGAATATTATTAACCCCTACAATTAAATTACTTTTTAAACATCTTTAATATTAACATATAATTAAAAATTATTTTAGCTGAAATAACAGAAAAACCTATAAATCCGTGTCAGCCGTCACCCTGTGGGCCTAATGCATTATGCAATGTAATTAATGATTCTCCTTCCTGTTCTTGTTTGCCTGATTTCGTTGGAATTCCACCGATGTGTAAACCCATGTGTATCAGTAATAACGAATGTGCCAATCATTTGGCATGTATCAATTTAAAATGCAAAGATCCATGTCCTGGTTCATGTGGTACGAACGCAGAATGTCGTGTAGTAAGTCACACAGCAATGTGTGTTTGTCTTGTTGGATATACCGGAGATCCTTTTGTTCAGTGTATTGAAAAACAACGTAAGAAAATAATCAAAGTTTTTTTTTAACTATTATAGTTAGTTCTTTTTTTATTACAACGAATTCTTACGTTTACTTTATTTTCTTGAATATTTTAGTTGATGTGCCATCTATCGCACCAACTCCTTGCGTACCATCGCCATGCGGATCAAATGCAATTTGCAAAGAACAATCAGGTGTAGGTTCTTGTACTTGTTTACCAAATTATATAGGCAATCCTTACGAAGGCTGTCGTCCAGAATGTGTCATGAATTCCGACTGTCCACCTACCCTTTCTTGCATTGGATCAAAATGTCGTGACCCTTGTCCTGGTGCATGTGGAACTAATGCCGAATGTCAAGTTGTTAATCATTTGCCGTCCTGTTCTTGTTTCGCTGGTTATACTGGTCAACCATACGAATTCTGTTCTTTGATACAAAATGGTAATAATATATATTTGAATTATTGCCTAACTTCTATTTTTGAATGATAAGTATTCTTACAATTTTATTCTTCATCTTTAGAACCATATAAACCATCAAATCCTTGTTCTCCATCACCCTGTGGACCAAACAGTCAATGTCGAGTTATTAACGATCAAGCAGTTTGTTCATGTTTGCCTGAATACATCGGTAGTCCACCAGGATGTAGGCCAGAATGTGTTGGAAGTTCTGAGTGTCCTTTGAAGCAAGCATGCGTGAATCAAAAATGCATTAATCCATGTCCAGGTCCATGTGGTTTGAATACCGACTGTAATGTCATTCATCATAGTCCCATATGTGCATGTAAACAGTCGTTTACTGGAGATCCATTTACTCAATGTTTCCCAATGCAACGTAAGACAACTTTTGACAAGTTTATGGAGAATCATTAACTACACACATATATTTATCTCTGAATTTCTTCCAGAACCAATTCTCACGTCAATGTCCATTTCGAATCCATGTATTCCATCACCTTGTGGACCATATTCCGAATGTCGTGATATTGGTGGTTTATCGTCATGCTCTTGTTTGCAAGATTATATCGGCAGTCCACCTAATTGTCGTGCCGAATGCACCATACATTCAGATTGTTCCACTGACAAAGCTTGTATCAGACAAAAATGTAAAAATCCATGCCCAGGATCATGCGGAAATAATGCAGAATGTAACGTTTTTAATCATATCCCGGCATGTAGTTGTTTACATGGATTTACTGGTGATCCATATACCAATTGTTATCCAAAGATTACACCACGTAAGAATAATTTGATTTATCAACAAAATTTTAATTCGTTTGATCATATTTCTACGGTATACTTCAATATTTTTCGTTACAGAATACGAACAACTTTCTGAGGATAAATGCAATCCTTCGCCATGCGGAGCAAATGCAGAATGCAACAATGGTGTTTGTTCATGTTTAACCGAATATCGTGGTAATCCTTATATCGCGTGTCGTCCAGAATGTGTCTTAAACACAGATTGTCCTACTGATAAAGCATGCGTACGTAATAAATGCGTCAATCCTTGTGTTGGTACATGTGGGCAAAATGCTATCTGTACCGTTTACAACCACATTCCTATGTGCAGTTGTACACCTAACACAAGTGGAAATGCTTTTGTCATCTGCCTACCTGTTAAAGGTAGATTCTTTCGTTACATTTTTTCATTGATCGAAAAGATTGTACGTTCATTCATTAATACTTGCAATATTTTCTATTTTTAGAACCTACAGTATCAGATAATCCATGTAACCCATCACCATGCGGTCCAAATAGTTATTGTCGAACAATAAATGGACAAGCAGTTTGTTCTTGTATTTCTGGATATAAAGGAAGTCCACCATCCTGTCGACCCGAGTGTATCGTTAGTTCTGATTGTGATAAAGATAAAGCTTGCAGTAATTTACAATGTATCAATCCTTGCATCGGTACATGTGGAATTGGTGCACAATGTCGTGTAGTAAATCATAATCCCATTTGTAGTTGTCTTCCAAATTTGTCTGGTGACCCATTCGTAAGATGCGATCCGATATGTAAGATATTTTCATATTTCCTTATGTTGATTAATACCCAGTTATTATAATCAAATTACTAGTACAGTGTTGTATATTTTTTTTAGTGGAAAAACCTCCAGTTTTCATAAACCCATGCAAACCATCACCGTGTGGTTTGAATGCTTTGTGCCAAGTAATCAATAACTCCTCATCCTGTGCCTGTATGAAAGAACACATAGGATCTCCACCAAATTGTCGTCCTGAATGTATCAGCAATGCTGAATGTTCGAGTCAATTAGCTTGCATAAATCAGAAATGTAAAGATCCTTGTTCTGGTTCTTGTGGGCCTAATGCAGAATGTCGAGTTGTAAGTCATACACCAATGTGTGCTTGTTCTGAGGGTTACACTGGAGATCCATTCATACAATGTAACATACAACCACGTAAGAAAATGATATTTTACTACGACTTTCATTAGATCCACATAAGTATGTGTTACTTTATGGATTAACGTTTTCTTTAGTTATACCTACCTCTCCTTGTACACCATCACCGTGCGGTTCGAATGCCATTTGCAAGGAACAAAACGGTGTCGGTTCGTGTACATGTTTACCAGAATTTATTGGCAATCCATACGAAGGATGTCGACCCGAGTGTTTAATTAATTCTGATTGCCCATCAAATCTCGGTTGTATACGATCCAAGTGTCAAAACCCATGTCCCGGAACTTGCGGATCAAATGCCAATTGCCAAGTTATAAATCATTTGCCTACTTGTACTTGCGTACCTGGATTTACCGGAGATCCATTCCGTTATTGTCAACAAATTCAAGAAAAGGGTAACATTTTTATTATACGACTTAATTTAATATACAAATTTATGAATAATTTAATAGATAAACAAAAATTATAATAATATTTTCTTTCCATTTATAGAAGAAGATCACACAAATCCATGTGATCCATCTCCTTGTGGTCCGAATAGTCAATGTCGTGTCATTTCAAACAACGTTGTTTGCTCATGTCTTCCTGAATATAGCGGAACTCCACCCTCGTGTCGACCGGAATGCGTTATGAGCTCTGAATGTCCTTCGAATAAAGCTTGCGTAAATAAAAAATGCATCAATCCATGTGCTCACGCATGTGGACAAAACGCAGATTGTTCGGTTATCAATCATAATCCTATTTGTACATGTAAAAGTGGACTTACCGGTGATCCACTAACGAGATGTTTCCCTAACTTACGTAAGTTTAATAACCGAAAATGATTCTAAATCATTAGAGTTAAATATATAGATTCGAAACATAGAATTGAATTGTTTTACAGCTTTGCCACCTGCTGTACCAACAAACCCATGTATACCATCACCATGTGGACCATATTCCGAATGTCGAAATAATGCCGGAACACCTTCTTGTTCCTGTTTATCTACATACATTGGTACCCCACCTTATTGTCGACCAGAATGTGTTATTAATTCCGATTGTCCAAGTGATAAATCTTGCATAAGGGAAAAATGTTTGGACCCATGTCCTGGCTCTTGTGGTACATTCGCTCAGTGTTCAGTTTTCAATCATATTCCTATTTGTACTTGTCCAGATGGTTACACAGGAGATCCATTTAGTAGTTGCGTATTGCAACCACCAACACGTAAGGATGATATGTTCGAAACAATTGTTAGTTTTATTTTTCATATCGAATACATGTATTCATATTATTGTAGCAAGTTTACCAGCCGATTTGTGCAATCCTTCGCCATGTGGTCCAAATACGAACTGCAATGAAGGGAAATGCACTTGTTTGACAGAATATCAAGGAGATCCTTATGTGGGTTGTCGACCGGAATGTGTTCTTAATGCAGATTGTTCTTTGGATAAAGCATGTTTGAGAAACAAATGTGTTGATCCTTGTATCGGTACTTGTGGTCAGAATGCACTTTGTAATGTTTACAATCATATACCAATGTGTACTTGTCCAATTGGTATGACAGGAAACGCATTTTTATCCTGTTTACCATTCAGAGGTTGGCATAGATTTGTTTATCCTTGTTTATTTTCAAAATTTATCAAAGTATTCTCTTATCAATATTGTTTAATATATTTTCTATAAATAGATCCTGTTATAAGCAATCCTTGTAATCCAACACCTTGTGGACCGAATAGTCAGTGTCGTGAAATTAATGGTCAGGCAGTTTGTACTTGTCTTCCTGGCTTTTTGGGAAGCCCACCTACGTGCAGGCCAGAGTGTATAACCAGTACAGATTGCAGTCCTAGCGAAGCTTGTATTAATCAGAAGTGTAGAAATCCTTGCGTTGGTACTTGCGGTATCAAAGCTATTTGTCAAGTGGTCAATCATAATCCAATTTGCAGTTGTCCAACTATTTTAAGCGGTGATCCTTTCGTTAGATGTATACCAAAACGTAAGCTCTTTAAATTCTCTATCTATATTTATTCTAATTTATTTTATTACTTCAATCGATAACACAAAAAGATATAGAAAATTATTGGAGTATTATGAAATTTTAGCTGAAACGACATTGGTACAAAAGAATCCTTGCACCCCATCCCCTTGTGGTCCAAATGCTCAGTGTCAAGTAATTAACGACACGCCATCGTGTTCCTGTTTGCCAGAATTTATTGGTACACCACCAAATTGTAGACCAGAATGTGTGAGCAATAACGAATGCAGTAACAATCTTGCATGTATCAATCAAAAATGCAAAGATCCATGCCCTGGATCGTGTGGAGCTAATTCCGAATGTCGTACAGTATCGCATACACCAATGTGTACTTGCATCGTTGGTTATACCGGCGATCCTTTCACTCAATGTATCGACATTGTTCAACCACGTAAGAATTATGAACAATATTTTAAACTCTACTTTTTCGATAAATATCTATAGAATTTTTTCTGAGTAAGATTTGAATTTTTACAGATATACCAATGTACATGCCACAAGTTTGTGTTCCATCTCCCTGTGGAGCTAATGCGATTTGTAAAGAAAGAAATGGAGTAGGTTCTTGTTCATGTTTATCAGATTATATCGGTAATCCTTACGAAGGCTGTCGTCCAGAATGTACCATTAATTCAGATTGCATACCAAGCAAGGCATGTGTTAAATCGCGTTGTCAAGATCCTTGTCCTGGTACTTGTGGTCAGAATGCTATTTGCCAAGTTGTTAATCATATAGCAATGTGTACATGCATTCCCAAATATACTGGCGATCCATTCAGATATTGTTCCGAAGAGCCAATAACAGGTATAGTTTGAGTTGTTCTGAACGTTATTAGTAAGTTTGTTTGAAAAAATCTACAATCTTATATCTTATATCTTATATTATTATAATAGAACTTTCACCAGACATAAGTAATCCTTGTCAACCATCTCCATGTGGACCGAATAGTATATGCCGAGAAAATAATGGTCAAGCAGTTTGTACTTGTCTAGCAGAATATGTTGGTACACCACCTGGATGTAGACCAGAATGTGTTGCTAGTACAGAATGTGCTCCTAATCGTGCATGCGTTAATCGAAAATGTATCGATCCATGTCCAAATTCTTGTGGCAAGAATTCAATGTGTAGAGTCATCAATCATAGTCCATTGTGTTCTTGTCAATCAGGATTTACTGGAGATCCATTCTCAATTTGTTTCCAACTTCCACGTTAGTATCAAAATAATATTTGGTATTAAAATAAATTAGAAATAGATATTTCATATTTTTTTGTTAACCAAATAGGACCATTAGAGCAACCACAAACATCAATTCAACAAGATCCATGTCTCCCATCACCATGTGGACCATATTCAGAATGTCGTAACATTAGAGGCAATCCATTTTGCTCTTGTCTATCCACATTTATTGGCACCCCGCCTAATTGTAGACCGGAATGTACGATACATTCCGAGTGTTCTAGTCATCTAGCTTGCATACGTAGCAAATGTTCAGACCCATGTCCAGGTTCATGCGGAGTTGATGCTAATTGTGCTGTAGTAAATCATATTCCAATATGCACTTGTCCCGAAGGATATACCGGTGATCCATTTAGTATTTGTACTCTAAAACAATCAACACGTAAGAATAATACCTTTACAAGTTGTTAAATATTAATTCTCCTCATGTTTGTTAAGTTTTATAGTTTTAACAAATAATTCATATATGTAGCTGTAGAATCTGTCGATTCGTGCAATCCTTCACCATGTGGACCAAATGCAAATTGTTTGGATGGTATTTGTACGTGTATATCTGAATACGAAGGTGATGCATATATCGGTTGTCGACCAGAATGTATATCGAACACAGAATGTCCACGAGACAAGGCATGCATTCGCAACAAGTGTTTCGATCCATGCATAGGAACATGTGGTTTCAATGCAGAATGCAAAGTTATCAATCATGTGCCAATGTGCAATTGTCCAATAGGAATGACTGGAAATGCTTTTATTACTTGCAATCCACAGCAGGGTACGAATTTAATTATATGCTAGTATAAAAATCTTCATAAGTGTTACAAGTTTATACTTGTTCCTTTGATCCTTCAATAGTTTAGATTATTATATCTATTTTTTCTTTTAATTTAATTATTAGATGATACAGTAACTCGTCCTTGCATACCTTCTCCATGCGGGCCAAATAGTCAATGCCAAGAAATAAATGGAGTAGCCGTTTGCAAATGTTTGTCAAATTATATTGGAAATCCACCAACGTGTCGCCCAGAATGTACCCTTAGCTCTGATTGCGATCAAACTAAAGCTTGCATTAATCAGAAATGCGAAGACCCATGTCCAGGTTCATGCGGATTGAAAGCTGAATGCTCAGTCGTGAATCATAATCCGATTTGCACTTGTCGTCAGGGTTACACCGGTGATCCATTCACTGCCTGTAGTTTAATAGGTAAGCATCATTTTCATCGTGGCTCCAAATAATTATTGAAAAAATCATTCAAATTCATTTTGACGAGTTATATTTTCTGAATTCTTTTAGTCGAGACAACAACTGCATCCGTTAATCCTTGCTATCCGTCCCCATGTGGTTTAAATGCTCAATGCCAAGTCATAAATCAACAACCCTCGTGTTCTTGTCTACCTGAATTTTTGGGATCACCACCTAAATGTCGACCAGAATGTACTACAAATAGTGATTGTCCAAGTCGACTTTCATGTATTAATAGAAAATGCAAAGATCCTTGTCCAGGTTTATGCGGTGCAAACGCAGAATGTTATGTCAATAATCATATAACTACTTGTACATGTAGTCCAGGATTTACTGGAGATCCATTCCTTCAATGTACAACAATTCAAAGTAAGTTCGTTTTACACGGATAACGTATTAATGATATTACCTATTACAATGACGTATTGATTTTCAATCATATTGTTAGATATAGAACCAATAGTATCACCCTGTACACCATCACCTTGCGGAGCAAACGCAATATGTAAAGAACAATCAGGAGTAGGATCTTGTACTTGTTTACCAAATTATATAGGCAATCCTTACGAAGGGTGTAGACCTGAATGCGTTATAAATTCAGATTGTCCTGCTAATCGTGCTTGCATACAATCTAAATGTCAAGATCCTTGCCCTGGTGCGTGTGGTCAAAATTCGCTTTGTCAAGTTATAAATCATGCTCCAACTTGTACATGTATACCAGGACACACAGGAGATCCATTCCGTTTCTGTAATATTGTTACAGAATATCGTAAGAATCTTTTTATTTTTCAATTAAAATTTCTTTTCATATTTCACATTTTTTTTTTTTTAGTGTATAAAACAATTATTTCCTTTTTTAGCTGTAGTTGAGAAAAACGATCCTTGCAATCCATCGCCTTGTGGGCCAAACAGTGAATGTCGTAAAAATGAAAATCAAGCAGTTTGTTCGTGTCTTTCGAATTATATTGGTTCTCCGCCAGCTTGTAGACCCGAGTGTATAGTCAGTACAGAATGTCCACTAAACAAAGCTTGTATCAAGCAAAAGTGTGTTAATCCTTGTTCGAATTTATGCGGAATCAACACTGATTGTAGAGTTATCAATCACAGTCCAATTTGCATTTGCAAAAATGGCTATTCGGGAGATCCCTTCACTGCCTGCTTCTATTTAACTGGTACATATAAAGTCATACATTTGAAAAATATACATCATATGTTTCCATTTAAATTTTCAATTCAATTATAGTTTCTCCAGAAAAAGTACCAGATGTACAACAAGATCCCTGTTTACCATCGCCATGTGGCCCGAATTCTTTATGTCAACCGGTTGGGCAAATACCTTCTTGTACATGTTTACAAAACTATTTTGGTAGTCCACCAAATTGTCGACCCGAATGTACAATTAATTCAGAATGTCCTAGTAATAAAGCATGCATACAAAATAAGTGCAGGGATCCGTGTCCAGGATCTTGTGGTTTTAATGCCCAATGTACAGTATTCAATCATTTGCCAATATGTTCTTGTTTCGATGGATACACGGGTGATCCATTTGATAATTGTCATCAGCAACCACCACGTAAGCAACTCGTTCAGTTATATTGAAAATAGTATTACCATTTATTCTAATCAACATATTTCTATCTTTAGCCCAATTGGATGAAATAGACGCCTGTAATCCATCCCCGTGTGGTATTAACACACAATGCGAAAATGGTATTTGTTCATGCTTACCTGAATATTACGGAGATCCAACAACAGGTTGTCGCCCAGAATGTGTTCTCAATTCGGATTGTTCTCGTGACAAAGCTTGCATTAATAATAAATGCAAAGATCCTTGCGTAGGAACTTGTGCGAGCAATGCACTATGCAACGTCATTAACCACATTCCCATGTGTAGCTGTCCAACTAATTACGAAGGAAATGCTTTTGTTTATTGCCATTCCGTTCAAGGTATATACTACAAAATTTGGGGGGAGATGTTTAAAGAATTATTTGTTATTTATAATTGCTATTTTTCTACAGCTTCTATTTTAATTTCACCGTGTACACCATCACCTTGTGGACCAAATAGTCAATGTCGTACTAGTAATGATCAGGCAGTATGTAGTTGTGTTTCTGGTTACATTGGAACACCTCCTATGTGTAGACCTGAATGTATTGTTAATACGGAATGTCCACCTAACGAGGCATGTACAAATCAAAAATGTAGAAATCCTTGCATTGGAAGTTGTGGTGTTGGTTCAAAATGTATTGTGAAAAATCATAATCCCATTTGTTATTGTCCGGATCGTTACACAGGAGATCCATTCGTTCGATGTACTCCAATCCGTAAGATCCATTAGTTTATTATCATATAGATTCGTTATAATTGTCTTTCTATATCAATATAATTTTCTCATAGCGGAATTACCACCGGTACAAGTGAATCATTGTCAACCAACACCTTGCGGGTCAAACAGTGTATGTCAAATAATCAATGATTCGCCATCGTGTTCTTGTTTGCCAAATTATGTTGGTTCTCCACCACAATGTAGACCCGAGTGTATTAACAATAGTGAATGTCTTAGTCATCAAGCATGTATAAATCAGAAATGCAAAGATCCGTGCACTGATTCGTGCGGAGTCAATGCAGAATGTCGAACAATTAGTCATACACCAATGTGTTTCTGTCCTATTGGATACACTGGAGATCCATTTGTACAATGTATCACTAAACCGAGTAAGTTCATTGTCAAAGTTAATTAAAAGACGTTTTACAAATTCCTAGAATTCTGTGAGATCAAAATATTCATTTGTTCGTAGTCGAAGGCAATTCGATGCAAATAAATCCATGTTTACCATCACCATGTGGTCCCAATGCCGTATGCGTTCAACGCAATGCCGCAGGCTCATGTTCTTGTCTATCTACTTACACTGGAAATCCATATGAAGGATGTAGACCCGAATGCGTTCTTAATTCTGATTGTACACAGAACAAAGTATGCACCAATTCCAAATGCATAGATCCGTGTCCTGGAACTTGTGGCAGCAATGCGAATTGTAACGTTGTAAACCATATTGCAACGTGTTCTTGTCTTCCTTCTTACACTGGTGATCCATATCGATATTGTTTCATAAAACCAATGGGTAAAGTTTGATTTTTGTCTTTAATAATCTTTGATATTAAATGATTTCAATGGGAAAAACATTTATTTCATAAATTTCTTTTTAAACTACAGATACAGCTGTAGACAAAACAGATCCATGCAATAATGCGGAATGTGGTCCGAATAGTAAATGTAGAGTAGTTAATGAAGTTGCTGTATGTTCTTGTTTGCCAACATATGTTGGTAGGCCACCTGCATGTAGACCTGAATGCGTATCAAATTCTGATTGTCCTGCAACTCAATCGTGCGTGAAACAAAAGTGTATGAATTTGTGTCCAACCTCCTGTGGATTGTACACTGATTGTAGAGTTATTAATCATGCACCTTTGTGCACCTGTTCTATGGGCTATACTGGCGATCCATTTACAGTTTGTTTCCCAATACCTTGTGAGTAACTTTCATTAGTAACTGAACTTCACGAAGTACCTATCTTTACTTTTATTGATAATAATGAAAATGCCCGTTTCAGTGACAGTCCCTACACAGCAAGATATTGCATTAAGAGACCCTTGCATTCCATCTCCATGTGGTCCTTACGCAGAATGTCAAAATACAGGAGGATTACCCTCTTGTGCCTGTTTATCGACATACATAGGTAGTCCACCAAACTGTCGACCAGAATGCACTAGTAATTCTGATTGCTCTTCGAATAATGCTTGTATACAACAAAAGTGTAAAGATCCTTGCCCAGGATCATGCGGTACCATGTCAGAATGTAAAGTTCTCGATCACATTCCAATTTGTTCTTGCATCAATGGTTATACTGGCGATCCCTTTAGAGCATGTTATCCTCAGCAACGTAAGTTTTTATAAATTTCACCTGACATTAATCCTGGACCACATATATTCCTAACGCGATTTATCATTACAGCCGAACCTGTATACGTTGATCCATGTGCACCATCTCCATGTGGAGCAAATGCAAAATGTATAGATGGTGCCTGTACTTGTTTAGAGGAGTATTTCGGTGATCCTTATGCTGGTTGTCGACCAGAATGTATTTTAAATACCGATTGTAATTCATTAAAGGCATGCGTACGAAATAAATGCATTGACCCATGTATTGAAACTTGTGGACAGAACGCTTTATGCAAAGTTTATAATCACGTTCCAATGTGCAGTTGCCCATTGGGAATGTCAGGAAATGCATTTGTTTTATGTTCTCCTATCCAAGGTAAAATTTAATTTTTTCTTTATCGTAATACTTGTTGTTCTTTTTCGTATTACTAATTTATCTACTTCTACAGCACCTTCAGTTACTGATCCATGTAATCCGTCCCCATGTGGACCTAATAGTCTTTGCAAACAACATAATTTCCATGCAACATGCACTTGCATTAAGGGCTACATAGGTGCACCACCAACTTGTCGACCAGAATGTGTCGTTAGTTCAGATTGTGCCCCGAACAAAGCCTGTAGCAATCAAAAATGTATCGATCCGTGTCCCGGAAGTTGCGGCCGCAATACTATTTGCAATGTGATCAATCACAATCCTATTTGTTCATGCCTTTCAGGAATGTCTGGTGATCCATTTATCAATTGTTCTCCAATTCGTAAGCAATTTAACTTAAATTTATTCGTATTAGTAGAATCAATATTATATAATTCACATATTATTTGTTTTTTCTTTTCTTTTTAATATCAGCAACGAAGCCTCAAATTTCAATAAATCCATGCTTACCATCACCATGTGGTCCAAATGCAAGATGCGAAATAATCAACGATAATCCGTCGTGTTATTGTTTGCCTGAATTCAATGGATCTCCACCAAATTGTCGTCCAGAATGTATTAGTAATTCCGAATGTTCAAGTCGATTGGCGTGTATAAATCAGAAATGTAGAGATCCTTGTATTGGCTCATGTGGTGCTAATGCCATATGTAACGTAGTCAGTCATACGCCAATGTGTGCATGTACCGCTGGTTACACTGGTGATCCATTTACTCAATGTTCACCAGAACGATGTAAGATAATAGAATTATTACACTACTTTAATAATTTTAATCGGATTAAACATTAACATTTCTTTTCATCTTAGTTGATGTACAAACGGATAAACCTGCTCCATGTACACCATCCCCATGCGGTGCTAATGCAATATGTCGTGAGCAACAAAATATTGGCTCTTGTAGTTGCTTATCAGAATATATTGGTAATCCTTACGAAGGATGCAGGCCGGAATGTATCCTCAATTCAGATTGTCCATCAAACAGAGCTTGTATCAATATGAAGTGCAAAGATCCTTGCCCTGGAATGTGTGCACCGAATGCCAACTGTTATGTAATTAACCATGCAGCAACTTGTACTTGCTTTGAACAATATACCGGAGATCCTTTTATAAATTGCAATCCCATATTACCAACACGTAAGGATATTGATATTTCGACTTTGTAAAAATCTTGAGAACATTTGATTTACGGTCTTCTTCAATTTGAATCCTTTACAGAGGCAGATTCTGTTGACACGTGTCAATCTAATTTATGCGGTCCATATTCTCAATGTAAAGAAAACAATGGACAAATATCCTGCAGTTGTTTATCAACGTACATAGGTGTACCACCTAATTGTAGACCAGAATGTACGATTAGTAATGATTGTCCATCGAATCAAGCATGTAGGAATAAAAAGTGCATTGATCCTTGCCTCGATTCTTGTGGTCTCTATACAACATGTAAAGTGATCAATCATAATCCCATATGTTCTTGTAAATCTGGATATACGGGAGATCCATTCACTATCTGTATTTTCTTATCACGTAAGCTAATCGATATTTTAGCATTATTAACATTTTTATTCATAATATTATTCTAACAAACACGACAAACAAACTTTCATCATATATATTCGTTACTTTTAGCAATACCACATTTTGAACCCGAAAAGGATCCTTGCATTCCATCACCGTGTGGTCCAAATTCGCATTGTCGTAACATCAATGGATCACCATCTTGTTCTTGTATGCAAAATTATATTGGTTCTCCGCCACAATGTAGACCCGAATGCACAACGTCTACCGATTGTGCAAGTAATTTAGCCTGCATACAGCAGAAATGTCAAGATCCTTGTCCTGGATCTTGTGGTCTCAATGCTGTTTGCACAGTTCATAATCATTTACCAATTTGTTCATGCTTCGAAAGTTACACGGGAGATCCATTTGTCAGCTGTCAATACAAACCAATCTGTAAGGAACTAAGTGAAACCTTTTTCAAAATTATTCATCTTATTTATTTATAAATCAATAATGTAATATTTCATAATATAGCTCAAGCCCCATTGGAAAATGATGTTTGCAATGCGTGTGGTCCTAACAGCGAATGTAAACAGGAAAAATGTGTTTGCATATCCGAATATTACGGTGATCCTTACGTAGGTTGCCGACCTGAATGTGTACTCAGTTCAGATTGTGCAATTAACAAGGCTTGCATTCGAAACAAATGTATAGATCCTTGTCTTCAGACTTGTGGACAAAATGCTATTTGCAACGTTTTCAATCATGTTCCAATGTGTAGTTGTCCATATGGTACAACTGGTAATGCCCTTATTTCGTGTCAGACTATAAAAGGTATTAATGCTTTAATGAAATAATGTTCACTTCATAGGACAGACTATTTATATTTATTCGTTTTATATATAGCTCCAGCTATTAAAACACCGTGTCAACCATCACCATGTGGTCCCAATAGTATTTGTCATTCTTTCAATGATCAATCTGTATGCGCTTGCTTACCTAATTATCTTGGAACACCACCAATGTGTAGACCCGAATGTACCATCAATTCGGACTGTAGAATAAATCAAGTTTGTAGAAATCAAAAATGCGAAGATCCCTGCCCAGGAACATGTGGTTTACAAGCAGAATGTATTGTAGTCAACCATAATCCAATTTGTTCTTGCCCTGAACGCTATACTGGAAATCCTTTCATCAAATGCGATATTATAAGTAAGCTGCAATCAATTTGTAATCTTACAAAACGAAACAAAAATTCATTCACAATATTATTCACGAATCGTCCACATTTTATGACACTTAAACAATTACGTATACTTTCCTACAGACGAAGTTTACACACCAATTGTAAATCCTTGTCAACCATCACCATGTGGTCCGTACGCTATCTGTCAAGTTGTCAATGAGTCACCCTCTTGCTCGTGCCTTCCCGAATATAAAGGCGCACCACCAAATTGTAAACCCGAGTGCATATCTAATTCCGAGTGCCCCGCCAACCAAGTTTGCATTAAACAAAAGTGTACAAATCCGTGCCCAAGTTTGTGCGGTACAAATGCAGAATGCCATGTTGTTCATCACGTTGTACATTGCGTATGTCCGAACAGTTATACCGGGGACCCTTATACCAGCTGTTCGTTTATATGTAAGATCATAATTATGTAGAATCATGGAATAACTTTATACAATTCATTCTCATGTATAATTTTTCATTGTTTTAGTATATCGCCCAGAACCATCTCCCTGTTCCGAAGATATTTGCGGTACGAATGCCATATGCAAAGAACAGAATAACGTTGGTGTTTGTTATTGTCCACCTGATTATATTGGTAACCCGTACGAAGAATGTAGACCTGAATGTGTTATCAATCCTGATTGTCCATCTAATCAGATGTGTGTACAAAATAAATGTCGAGATCCTTGTCCCGGCATGTGTGGGCAAAATGCTGAATGCGCAGTTGTCAATCATCAACCATTCTGTACTTGTCGTCCAGGATACACTGGCGATCCATTCTCTTTCTGTAATATTGATAGTAAGTTTTAATTATATTCTTGTTGAAGTGTTTCAAGTATTAAGAACAGCTATTAACCATGTTCATTTTTTTCTCAGCATTTATGGAGGAAAAGAATGTTTGTTCCCCGTCACCTTGTGGTCCAAATAGTCAATGCAAAAATATATCTGGTCAACCAGTATGTTCCTGTTTACCAACGTACGTTGGTAATCCACCTGGCTGTCGACCCGAGTGTGTTGTTAGTTCCGATTGTCCGTCTCAACTTGCATGCAAGGATCACAAATGTATCAACCCTTGTCCAAGCCCATGTGGATTAAACACAAAGTGTATTGTTGTTAATCACAGTCCAATTTGTAGTTGTGCACCTGGATACAGTGGTAATCCTTTCACAGTGTGCACAGCCATACCATGTAAGATCCCCAATAATCTATATGTTATGACTGCAAAGAACATTTTATACTTGCCAAGTTTTTGTATTAATTATTTATTTATTTTTTTGTCTATTACTTTTATCATTTTCAGCTGTAACAATGCCTAGCGTTGTTGAAAAAGACCCCTGTGTGCCATCCCCTTGCGGCCGATTCTCGCAATGTAAAAACATTGGCGGTACACCTGCATGTACATGTTTAGAAACATACATTGGACAACCACCAAATTGCAAACCTGAATGTACCATCAATTCCGAATGCGCAAGTGACAAAGCTTGCTTTGAAACGAAATGTAGAGATCCCTGCCCTGGTTCATGTGGTTCAGGTGCTATTTGTGCTGTAGTTAATCATATTCCAATGTGTACGTGTCCAACAGGATACACCGGAGATCCATTTACTCTTTGCCGATTATTACCTGCAACACGTAAGCTTTTTACATGTTAAAAAACAGATGATATACGAAAATCTAACATTAGAAAAATAATGATAACCCTGATAAATTCTTGAATTCCTTAGCACCACCAATTATACCTGCTGATTTATGTAATCCATCACCATGTGGTCCAAATGCGAAATGTTCCAACGGTACCTGTACTTGTCTACCAGATTTCCAAGGCAACCCATATCAAGAATGTCGACCAGAATGTGTCCTTAATTCAGATTGCTTACGAGATCAAGCCTGTTCTAGAAACAAATGTATAAATCCATGTATGGGAGCTTGTGCAGTCAATGCCTTATGTAATGTTATCAATCATATACCCATGTGTAGTTGCCCTGGAAATATGACTGGCAATGCATTTAGTCAATGCGTACCAGTACAAGGTATTTCCAAAATGATTTAATAATTATTTTTCTTACTTATCAATTGCAGTTAATCGGTAAATGATCGATTAAAATTGCGATTAAACAGTGACGTATATTATAATCAATTGTTTGTTTTATTAGGTTTACCTCCTATTAATCCATGCAGCCCTGGACCTTGTGGCCCTAATAGCGAATGTCGTGTAGTAAATGGACAAGCTGTGTGTTCTTGCATAAAAGGATATTTAGGAATTCCACCAACTTGTAGGCCAGAGTGTATAGTCAGCACTGATTGTCCACAAAATGAAGCTTGTAACAATCAAAAATGCGTAGACCCTTGTCCTGGATCTTGTGGCATAGAAGCTTCATGCAATGTTGTTAATCATAATCCAATCTGTAGTTGTCCATTGCGTTATACCGGTGATCCTTTCGTACGCTGCATGGTTTTATGTAAGATATATTTCATTTATTTTTCCATGTCATTTATTTCTCCTCATTTATTTGCAAAATATCTCATTAAATAAAACAAATGATTATTTTATATACAGTGGAACAACAACCACCAATAGATCCGTGCCAACCATCGCCCTGTGGCCCTAATTCTCAATGCCAAGTAATTAACGATTCACCGTCCTGTTCGTGTCTTTCTGAATTTTCGGGATCTCCACCAAATTGTAGACCAGAATGCATTAATAATAATGAATGCATTACTCAAATGGCTTGCATTAATCAAAAATGTAAAGACCCATGTATTGGGGCTTGTGGTTCCAATGCAAATTGCCATGTTGTAAGTCATACACCAATGTGCACGTGCATGAATGACTATACTGGCGATCCTTTCACTCAATGTACCTTTAAAGCACGTAAGTATAAATTTAGATTATAAATCCAATAATCCGAACCATTTCGTAACAATTGTTATATTTTTAGCCTTGCCACTTCCTGAACCAGGGCCATGTGATTCATCTCCTTGCGGTTCAAATGCAATTTGCAAAGAATTGAATCGAGTAGGCTCGTGTGCTTGCTTACCTGGTTATAACGGCAACCCTTACGAAGGTTGTCGGCCCGAATGTATTCTAAATTCTGATTGTCCTGCAAGTAAAGCTTGCATCAATTCCAAATGTACAGACCCTTGTCCTGGAACCTGCGGATTAAACGCTGAATGTCAAGTTATCAATCATTTACCAATTTGTAATTGTTATCCCCGACACACTGGCAATCCATTTACGTCTTGTAAACCAATAGGAATGGGTACGTAGTTATACTAACTTTAGAATGCTCGTAAACAATGTAACAACATTTGATAAGTTTTAATACTTTTTTTGTAGATATTCAAGATGCAATTAGCAAACCTTGCAATCCGTCACCTTGTGGACCAAATAGTGAATGTCGTGTTGTAAACGGACAGTCAGTTTGTACCTGTTTAGCCGATTTTATAGGAGTTCCACCAAGATGTCGACCTGAATGTTCAGTCAGTGCCGAATGTTCTCCTGCCTTAGCCTGTATAAATAGAAAATGTAGTGACCCGTGTCCTGGCTCGTGTGGTCTAAATGCCAGATGTGAAGTTATCAATCATAATGCAATATGTTCTTGTCAACCTGGATTTATGGGTGATCCACTTATTTCCTGCTTTAACATTCCACGTAAGATATATGATTCTTGATGCGTCAGAGATGCGTTTTGAGTTGAAACTCATCTATAAATTTTATAATTTGTATCATTATAGCTGATAGACCCACCGATACTCTTCCACTTTATGTTAATCCATGTGTTCCCTCACCTTGTGGTCCATATTCTGAATGCCGTGACATTAATGGACAAGCTTCTTGCGCATGTTCACCAAATTATATAGGAGCACCACCTAATTGTCGACCAGAATGTATTAACAATTCAGAATGTCCAAGTAATGAAGCATGTATTCAAAAGAAATGTCAATATCCTTGTAATGGCGTATGCGGAATCGGAGCAACGTGTTCTGTTATCAATCATATACCAGTATGTACCTGTCCAGATAAATTCAGTGGTGATCCATTCGATAAATGTATTCCGAAAATTGAAGATGGTAAGATAAAATTGAAATAACGATTAACCCATAAGTATTACAATTATACGATAAATTTATTATTATTATTTATTAATAGACAAAACGGATAAACAAAATCCATGTGCACAGTGTGGTGCAAACACGCAATGCATCAATGAAATTTGTATTTGCTTACCGGAATATCAAGGAGATCCTTACTTAGGATGTCGTCCAGAATGTGTCTTGAATTTCGATTGTCCAAGAGATAAAGCTTGTATTAATAACAAATGTAGAAACCCGTGTACAGGAATCTGTGGCCGAGATGCTCTTTGTACTGTTGCAAATCATATTCCTATTTGTACTTGTCAATCAGGAATGTCAGGCAATCCATTTATTTTATGTTCACCTGTAGAAGGTATGACAAAATTTTGTTTCACACATTTAGCTTTATATTTCATGACATATCAATAACTATGATATCTTTTTATAGCATCTGTAGAAAAAGATCCATGCAATCCTTCACCTTGTGGATCGAATAGCCAATGCAAAAAAATAAACGACCAAGCAGTTTGCTCTTGCATTCCTGGATATTTGGATTCCCCACCAAATTGTAGACCCGAATGTATAATCAGTTCTGATTGTCCATCGAACATGGCGTGTAATAATCAAAAATGCATAGATCCGTGTCGCGGAACGTGTGGTATCAGAGCACAATGTTTGGTAGTCAATCACAATCCAATTTGTAGCTGTCCTGCAGATTTAACAGGCGATCCATTTACCATGTGCATTTTCATACGTGAGTAATCAGTCATAATTTTTCGAGCAAATACATTTTTATATTTTTAATTTACGTATATTTCATTCGAACAACATTTTTTTAAATGTAGCGGAAAAACAACCTAGCATTACTAATCCTTGCGAACCATCACCTTGCGGAGCAAACAGTCAGTGTCGTGTCGTAAACAATGCACCATCTTGTTCTTGCCTACCAGAATTCATAGGATCACCCCCGAATTGTAAACCAGAATGCATTAGCAACAGTCAATGTTCTACACAATTGGCTTGTATCAATCAAAAATGCCGAGATCCTTGCCCAGGTTCTTGCGGTGTTAATGCAGAATGTAGAGTAATAAGTCATACACCTATGTGTGTATGTACTTCAGGATTTGTTGGTGATCCATTTATACAATGTACTGCAAAAAAACGTAAGTAATATTAAGTCGTGTCATAGTTGCATAAATAATTGAATTTTTTTATTGAAAAAAATAAAAAAAAAAACATTATACATATGCGTAGCTGACGAAGACACAAGTATGAAAGTAACACCATGTCTACCATCACCATGTGGATCTAATGCATTATGTCGTGAATCGAATAGTGTTGGATCTTGTTCGTGTTTACCAAATTACATTGGAAATCCTTACGAAGGCTGTCGTCCTGAATGTATTATAAACAGTGATTGCATTGCCGATCAAGCATGCATTAGATCAAAATGTCAAAATCCTTGTTCAGGTTTCTGTGGTCAAAATTCCGTTTGCCAAGTCGTTAATCATGCACCTTTGTGCACTTGTCAAAGTGGATATACTGGTAATCCATTCCTGTATTGTAACATTGTAGAAGAAACACGTAAGTTATATTATTAATATTTGATCCGAGACACATGATTTTATCAAAGAAATAGGTTTAATTAGATTTCATTTATAGCTAAACCAACAGATCCATGTGTTCCTTCACCCTGCGGTCTAAACAGTCAATGTCGTGTATCAAATAATCAAGCAATTTGTAGTTGTTTGCCTACATTTATTGGAACACCACCTGCATGTCGTCCAGAATGTACTGTTAGTTCTGATTGTTCGACAAACCGTGCATGTAAAGATCGTAAATGTATAGATCCCTGTCCAGGAATTTGTGGTATTAATGCAAGATGTGAAGTAATCAATCACAGCCCGATCTGCAGTTGCAAAGTAGGTTCAACTGGTGATCCATTCGTAAGATGTTTCGACCTTGCACGTAAGTATAAAACAATTGTTATTTACCTCAAGTGTTTAACATTTATTTTATTGTATAATTAATTTACAAAATGGAATTTATTTTTTTAGTACCACTCAGTCCACGACCTGAACAAATAAATCCATGCGTTCCATCACCTTGCGGTCCATTCTCCGTATGTCAAGATAGTAAAAATAGTGGAATACCTACGTGTACCTGTATGGAAAATTATATCGGCAGTCCACCCAATTGTCGACCAGAATGTACAATAGATTCTGAATGTATTAGTAGTAGAGCATGTTTGAGACAGAAATGTACAGACCCTTGTCCTGGTTCCTGCGGTATCGGAGCTAATTGTTATGTAATCAATCACATGGCAATGTGTGTATGTCCCAATGGTTATACGGGAGATCCTTTCGTCAATTGTGTCATAGAACCAGAACGTATGTGAAATCTTTTATGAAACTAATTTGTATTATTTATATCCCACAAGTTATCTGCATAATGAAAAATGATTACAGCTACACCTGATTTACAAGATCTTTGCCATTTGTCGCCATGCGGTTCAAATGCAATGTGTCATAACGGCACATGTACGTGTCTACCAGAGTATCATGGAGATCCATATTATGGATGCCGTCCTGAATGCGTACAAAATCCAGATTGTCTATTAGATAAAGCTTGTGTCCGCAACAAGTGTTCTGATCCATGCTCAGAAGCATGTGGCAAAAATGCACAATGTATTGTAATAAATCATACACCAATGTGCAGTTGTCCTGATGGAATGTCAGGAAACGCATTTGCTGCGTGTTATCCCGTAAAAGGTAAATTAGCATAATGCTAATTCTTACATACGATACATTCATATATACCTTACAAACAATTCATTTTATAGATCCAGAAATTGTTAAACCATGCAATCCATCGCCATGCGGACCAAATAGCAGATGTCAAGAATTTAACGGGCAAGCCGTTTGTTCTTGCGTTTCCGGATATATTGGAAATCCTCCAGCATGTCGACCAGAGTGTACTGTTAACACTGATTGTGCATTAAATGAAGCTTGCATTAATATGAAATGCAGAGATCCTTGTCCAGGCTCGTGTGGTATATCGGCTCGTTGTCAAGTAATTAATCACAATCCTATTTGTAGTTGCGCACCCATATTTACCGGAGATCCATTTGTCCGTTGTATACCTAAACGTAAGTATTAATATTTGTATATTCTCATGGAACCAACAATGTATTAATTTTTGAACTATTTTTCTATTAAGCCGATGAAGTACCACAAACTTTAAATCCATGTCAACCATCACCTTGCGGTCCTAATTCTTATTGTCAAGTTCGAAATAACGCACCATCGTGTTCTTGCAAAGATGGATTCATTGGCACACCACCTAATTGCCGACCCGAATGTATTAGTAACAGTGAATGCAGTAATTACTTGTCGTGTATCAATCGCAAATGCGTTGATCCATGTCCAAGTTCTTGTGGTTTAAATGCGGAATGCCACGTATTAAATCATATACCCACATGTACTTGCCTTTATGGTCATACTGGTGATCCATTTATACAATGCACAATTAAACAGAGTAAGCGACAACTTTATTCTGTTTACTCTAAAACCAATGTACATGGGAAACAAATGATTTCATTTTGATACAAATTTTTTAGCTGAATCACCACAATTAGATCAACCGTGTCAACCGTCTCCTTGCGGAGTAAATGCTGTTTGTAGAAAACTTCAAGAAGTTGCTACTTGTTCCTGTTTACCTGAATATATAGGAAACCCTTACGAGGGTTGTCGTCCTGAATGTTCAATCAACTCTGACTGTCCTTCTAATTTAGCTTGTGTTAGATCTAAATGTACAAATCCATGTCCTGGTACTTGTGGTTCCAATGCAGACTGTCAAGTTGTCAATCATTTACCTATTTGTACTTGTATGTCGCAATACACTGGAAATCCATACACAAATTGTTTCTACGAAATGGTAGAACGTAAGTTTCTTAATGATTTTTATTTCTATGAAATATCTTTTCAATTCATAATAATCAAATAAGTAAATAATAATTTATTATACTTGTAGCTATCGATAAAGAACAAGATCCTTGTAGTTCACCAGTTTGCGGTCCTAATAGCAGATGTCAAAATATTAACGATCAAGCCGTTTGTTCATGTTTACCAGAATTTATAGGAACTCCACCAAACTGTAGACCGGAATGCGTAATTAATTCAGAATGTGATTCGAAACTAGCATGTATCAAAAATAAATGCGTAGACCCATGCCCTGGAACTTGCGGACGCAATTCTCAATGCAAAGTTATACGTCACAGTCCTATTTGTAGTTGCGCATTCGATATGACGGGTGATCCTTTCGTTTACTGCTTCTCGGGTAAATATTTATCAATCGATTAATTTGTTTTCAAATACTTTTCACAAAAAATCAAACTATCATTGACAATTATAAAACAAAATTAATTACATTTTTCAACAGCACCAAAACCGGATGATGTATATCCTAAAGATCCGTGCACACCATCTCCTTGTGGGCCTAATGCAATGTGTAAAACTGTTAACGATGTACCAGTATGCAGTTGTATGAATAATTATATTGGGGTGCCACCTAATTGTCGCTCGGAATGTTCTATTAATTCAGATTGTCCTGCCAATAAAGCTTGCATGAGAGAAAAATGTAGAGACCCATGTCCCGGATCTTGTGGTCTCTATGCACAATGTTCAGTTGTTAATCACACACCAGTATGTACATGTCCTGAAGGTTACACTGGTGATCCTTTTGATAACTGCTATCCCAAACCTGTAACAAGCGGTAAGATTCCTAAACAAATTATATTTTTTTTATATACATTTACATAATTTAACTTCATCAATAATTTATCATTTTTCACAGAAGTTGAACCAACTGATCCTTGCAAAGAATCATTGTGTGGATCAAATACTCAATGTAATGCAGGTATTTGCACCTGTCTACCAGAATATTTTGGAAATCCATACGTTGGTTGTCGTCCCGAGTGTGTTGTTAATACCGATTGCTCTCGTAATAAGGCTTGCATACAGCATAAATGTCAAAACCCTTGCATTGGTGTCTGTGGCATTAATGCTGAATGTAATATCGTTAATCATTTACCTATGTGCAGTTGTCCAGAAAATATGTCCGGTAATGCATTCATTTCTTGCACTCCTATCGAAGGTTTGTATTCTTGAAATATTATCCGCAAGATTGGTAAATTGAAAAGAGATTTGATATTCATTGCTAATTAATTAATGACACATTATTTAGATGTAACAGTAAAGAATCCTTGCAATCCATCTCCATGTGGCCCGAACAGTCATTGCAATGCAATTAATGGTGTTGCTGTATGCGCATGTATTACTGGTTTCAAAGGAACACCACCTTCTTGTAGACCAGAATGCGTTGTAAGCTCTGATTGTTCTCGTAACAGAGCTTGTAATAATCAAAGATGTATCGATCCATGCGCAGGGGCATGCGATATATCTGCAGAATGTGTTGTAATCAATCATAATCCTATATGCAGTTGTCCAGCATCATATACAGGAGATCCATTTATAAAATGTATACCGCAAGGTAAGAATTTCACTAACCAAATTGTTTAATTTTTATTCGAAAATAACTGCTAACGTATATAAATTTAATTTTTACTTTTCCGTATCTTACGTTTCAGTATCAGAATCGAAACCTCCGGTAAATCCTTGTTTACCATCACCTTGCGGACCAAATTCATTGTGCCAAGTTTTAAATAATGCACCATCGTGTTCTTGCCTTCCCGAATATAATGGAAGCCCACCAAATTGTAAACCCGAATGTATTAGCAATAACGAATGTCCAATTCAGCAGGCATGTATCAACAGGAAATGTAGAGATCCTTGTCCAGGATCATGTGGAATTAATGCAGAATGCAGTACAGTCAGTCATATTCCCATATGCACATGTACCAATGGTTTCACTGGTAATCCATTTGCACAGTGCTACCCGCAACAATGTAGGTTTAAATAGAAGGATACCATACATACATGCATTTTATACATAAATATAAGTAACATCTTTTTTCTTTTTGGATCGTAGTATATGAAGTACCTACGGTATCTGATTTGTGTCAACAAATATCATGCGGCACAAATGCTAAATGTCGTCTATCTCACGAGACAGCATTCTGTTCGTGTATACCTGAATTTTATGGAAACCCATACGAAGGTTGTCGACCCGAGTGTGTTGTTAATTCCGATTGTTCTCTTAATCAAGCATGTGTACGTAATAAGTGTCAAGATCCTTGTCCCGGAACATGCGGCTTGAATGCTGTTTGTTACACTACCAATCATATACCATCTTGTAATTGTCAATTTGGGTACACTGGTGATCCATTCACTCGTTGTAATCCTATCGAACAATATCGTAAGTTTAGCAATGTTCCAAAATATTTGATGTCAACCCATAAATCGATTAAATGATTATCATGCAATAACATATTTTCCACAGTCACGCCAAGTTCCAAAGACCCATGCGATCCGTCTCCATGCGGACCAAACAGTCAATGCCTTAATACCAATGGAAAGGCTAGTTGTTCATGTTTGTTAAATTACAAAGGAGCTCCACCAAATTGTAGACCAGAGTGTGTTGTCAGCACAGAATGCCCTATGAACCGAGCGTGTATAAATAAAAAATGTGTAGATCCTTGTCCTGGTGTATGTGGAGTCGAAGCCCGATGTGAAACCATCAATCATAGTCCGATTTGCAGTTGCGGTAGCGATAAAACCGGAGATTCATTTGTTAGATGCTTTGACATACCTTGTAAGTGATAACCACCGACTACAATTCCAAATTCATAAGATTTCCATGCACTCTTCTAAAAGATTGTGTAATCGTATTTATTTAATCGTAATATATTTTTCTCTTTTAGCGATATTTGATTTTCCGCAACCTGGAAACCCGTGCATACCATCTCCATGCGGACCATTTTCATTATGTCAAAATTATAAAAATTTCCCATCATGTTCTTGTTTGGAAGATTACATAGGTACACCTCCCAATTGTCGTCCAGAATGTTCAATCAATTCTGACTGCATTAGTAACAAAGCTTGCATTAGAAACAAATGCAAGGACCCATGTCCTGGATCTTGTGGAACAAATGCCATTTGTACTGTTATAAATCATACCCCATCTTGCACTTGTCCAAATGGATATTCCGGGGATGCATTTACCAACTGCATTCTTGTTCCAATATGTAAGAGACTTCAAAAATTTCCTTGCAATATGTTTATGAAAATTGATACATTCAATTGTTCTTCACATTGTAACATATTCCAATATTCTACAGTTGGAGTACCCGAATCACCCGACCCATGTCATCCATCTCCCTGTGGATTGAACGCTATATGTAGTAATGGACTTTGTGAATGTATAAATGAATATCATGGTGACCCATATCAAGAGTGTAAGCCAGAATGTATACAAAATCCTGATTGTCCATTCAATAGGGCTTGCATAAATAATAAATGTCTCGATCCTTGTGTTGGCATCTGCGGTCAAAATGCAGAATGCACTGTCGTTAATCATATTCCAACATGTAGCTGTCTCGAACAATATGAGGGTGATCCTTTCAGTATCTGTAAACGTGTACAATGTGAGTCCTTTATTTATTAATCCTAATCATAAAATAATTACCAGACAAAAAATATTCTAATCTAAATTTAAAATATAATCACACAGCCCGTAAAACACCTTGCAATCCTTCACCGTGTGGACCCAATAGTGTATGTCACGAATTCGGAGAACAAGCATCATGCTCTTGTCTTCCTGGTTATATCGGAGTATCACCCAGTTGTAGATCGGAATGCGTTGTTAGTTCCGACTGTGAACAAGACAAAGCTTGTATCAATAATAAATGTCAAAATCCTTGTGAGAATGCTTGTGCTTACAATGCATTATGTTCGGTCCGTAATCATAATGCCATTTGTAGCTGCCCTCAACAATATACCGGTGATCCGTTCGTCAATTGCTTCCGTATGAGTAAGTTTATCTAAACCTTTAAAACATTCTTGACAACCTACCAAGATAAAACAAAGTTTCCTTGAATAGAAAAATAAACAATAATTTTTTGTTAGACCCGCCATACGAAGAACCTTCAAGAAATCCATGCAAACCATCACCATGTGGACAAAATGCACAATGCACAGTATCAACCGAGCAGAAAATTTTATGTTCCTGTTTATCCACTTTCATAGGATCTCCGCCAAATTGTAGACCCGAGTGCACTATAAATACTGATTGTCCAGCCAATCAATCATGCATCAATAAAAAATGCAGTGACCCTTGTGTTGGACTATGCGGTATTAATGCAATTTGCCAAGTTACCCTTCACCAAACTCGTTGTGATTGTCTAGAAGGATATACAGGAGACCCACTTAGAATGTGTTACTTATTTACGAGTAAGAAAAGTTTAACATTTTATTCGTCATGCTACCAGTAATGTAATTTTTATTACATACTATAATATCTTATATATTTCAGTTGAGTTTGTAAATATTGTATAAATGATATTATATGCACAAAATGCATGTTACACTATCGTGTACAATAGCCTTAGATTGTACATATATATATATTACATTTTCAATCATACATTCTCATCAAAAACATTTTTATTTCAATTTATATATTTAATTGACCAAATTTATATTTTAAATATTGCTTTTTAGTACGTGTACAATATTTGTAAAAAAAAAAAGAAAAAAAATGCTTGCTGTTATTATTATTTGTTTTACATAGATTAAGGCAAATTGTGATTAACACATACGTACGTAATTTAATAATAACAAATAACGAATTATTGAATTTTATTGCAGTGTTTGCTCAACCACCGTCGAATTTAAGTCCATGCAGTCCATCACCGTGTGGTTCCAACGCTTATTGTCGAGAAATAAACAACGTTGCTGTTTGCGAATGCATACCAGACTACAGAGGTGATCCTTATCTTAGTTGTCAACCAGAATGTTTATTGAACACCGATTGTCCAAAATCTCAAGCATGCGTCAGAACGAAATGTCAAGATCCTTGCATCGGTACTTGCGGAATTAACGCTATTTGTACGGTATCAAATCACATACCTATCTGTTCCTGTCGATCACCAACCATTGGAGATGCATTCACTCATTGCTTTATACCAGAAGGTAACAATAAAATATATATTTTTAAAATTCAATTCTTAATACAGTTGCAATAATTTCTACAGAAAGAGTACATTTTTCATAATTATTAATTTATATTTCTTATGATTAGAACCAATCAGACCAAATCCATGCCATCCTTCACCATGCGGACCAAATACTATCTGCGAAACGGTACGAGATACAGCAATTTGCAAGTGCCTTCCTAGTATGTTAGGTACACCAACAGATATAAATGGTTGTCGTCCAGAATGCGTCGTTAGTTCTGAATGTCCAGCTGATAAAGCATGCATGAATAACAAGTGCATTAATCCGTGTTCGTTGAATGTATGCGGAATCAAAGCAACCTGCAAAGTACTCAATCATAGTCCATTATGCAGTTGTATTCCTCCATTGATTGGTAATCCATTCATCGAATGTTATCAACAAACTGGTTAGTACATCTCATTATTACTTCATTTAAAGATTTTAACAAATACGAATTTATACTAATCGATATTTATTGCTGTAGAAATCGATCCGTGCAGTTCATCACCATGCAATTATAACGGCGAATGTAAAGTAAGAAATGATGTAGCTTATTGCATTTATCCAGAATGCGTAATAAACTCCGATTGTCCAAGGGAAAAAGTTTGTTTAGCGCAAAAATGTAGGGATCCTTGTATCAATGCGTGCGGAATAGATTCCATCTGTCAGACCATTAATCATAAGCCAGTATGCTCTTGTCCAAGTGGTTTCATGGGTAATCCCTACATAAAATGCACGATTACTACTCAAGAAGGTAAATTATTAATACATATAAATTATATAATTTTATTTATATTACGTGTAAAATGATTAATTAATTATTACAAATTTACAGTGCCGAGTTTGGAATGTACACATAACACCGATTGTACGAACGATAAAACTTGTTCAAATAATAAATGCATAGATCCTTGCAGTGTTCATTCATGCGGTCTCAACAGTCGTTGTTTTGTTCAAATGCACAGATCAATTTGCGTTTGTAATGAAGATTTCACTGGTAATCCTCAACAATATTGTCACAAAAGTATGTATCAGTATTTTAATCGACAACAACAAATAATTCTACACATATTTTGTATATAATACTGTAAATAATCTTAATTTCTTATTTTAGTTGGATGCCGTGGTGACAACGAATGTCCATCGACTCAATCTTGTATAAACAATGAATGCACCGATTCTTGTCAAGTAATGCAGTGTGGTATCAATGCATTGTGTACTGCTGATGGTTATCATAAAGCTCGTTGTTACTGTCCTGACAAATTTTTGGGCAATCCTTATCAATTATGCAAACGTCCAGAATGTATCAGTGATAATGATTGTGCACCATCCTTGGCATGTCAAAATTTACAATGTACAGATCCCTGCTCGTGTCCTTCGACTGCTCAATGTCTCGTTATTAATCATCGACCAAGTTGTCAGTGTCCACCTGGTTATATCGGTGATCCTTATACATCATGCATTTTAGGTAAACATATACTTCTGATTAAGATTAAAATAATCTTATTGAGCCTACACATAGTAAATTATAATTATAAAATATATTTATATCTATAGAATTGGAGAAACCTGTTCCCGAGTGTCAAACTGATGTAGATTGTCCTAGCAAATTGGCGTGTTTCAACGGAATTTGCAAAGATCCATGCACAGAAACTAAACCATGTATCGCTAGTGCCAGGTGCAGTGTCGTAGACACTTTACCAATGAGAACTATGATTTGCGAGTGTCCACGAAACTTCATGGGAGACGCAACGGTTGCCTGTATTCCAGGTATAATCACATTCGCTATTAATAATGACGACAATTATTGTTAAACTTGATTAATGTTTCATTTTTATTCTTCTATTATAGTTGACAAACAAATTGGCGTAGTATGTGTAAGTGATTCGGAATGCAATTCGGATATGGCGTGTTTAAATCAACGTTGCATCAATCCATGCGCTGTTAATCCGTGTGCCACCAACGCAGAGTGTTATGTACAAAACCATCGTCGTATTTGCCAATGTCCTGTAGGACATACTGGTGATCCATTTGTAATATGTTTCGAAGGTAATAAGAATATTAAATATTATAACGTATATCAAATTTATAGAACTTGTTAATAATAATCATAATACGTTTCTTCTAAACAGAAAACAACGCGTTGCCTAAATGTGAATCAAACTCCGAATGTCCGTCTAATAAAGCATGTATGAATCGTTTATGTCAAGACCCATGCTTAAGTAACAGATGTGGATCAAATGCTGAATGTATTGTTAATAGACACCACCCGACTTGCCATTGTCAAGAAGGTTTTGCAGGAAATCCACAAATACAATGTTTCAGACGTAAGTATTATGATATAAATTTAATTCCAATATTAATCATAACGTTTACTAAATAATATTACGTTGTTTTTTTTTTCTATAATTTGCAGCTGAATGCAAAACTGATCGTGAATGTCCTTACGACAAAGCATGCCAGAATGGCAATTGCGTTTCACCTTGTCTTCTTGGTGAAGTTACGTGTGGCCGAGGAGCAGAATGTACAACTGCAGAACATAAAGCTCAATGCGTTTGTCCTCAAGGCAAACAGGGTAATCCATACGTCGCATGTATTTCAACGATATGCCATTACAACGAAGATTGTGCGGATCATGAACTTTGCGACAGATTGAACAGAATCTGTCGACCCGTTTGCGATTCCGAGACATGTGCTGAAACTGCTACTTGCGTTGGCAGAGATCATCAACCAAAATGTATATGTCCTACGGGAACATCGGGAAATCCATACGTTGAATGCAATCGTAAGTTTTTCGATTAATTCAACATACTCATATTCTTATAATAACAGTTTCGATATAATAAATACAATTTTATTTCAGGAATAGAAATTCAACCCGAGTGTCTAGAAGATATAGAATGTCAATCTAACTTGGCATGTATCAATGGACGCTGTCAAGATCCATGCGGACCAACTAACATGTGCACTCAAGATCAAGAATGTAAAGTTTTAAATACTATTCCACTTCGTACGATCATCTGTTTGTGTCCACCTAACACGGTTACGGACATCAACGGGAACTGCGTTAAAATAGGTAATACTTTTGACGTCTAGGATATAGATATGCCAAATTTATTTTTCTAGATTAATATTAATCATATATTTGTCTGATATACAGAATTGATTAATGTCCAATGTCACTTGGATCAAAATTGTAATGACAACGAGAGATGTTTAAATGGACGATGCGTTGAAGCTTGCGACACCATACAATGTGGATATAATGCTCAATGCAAATCAACTTATCATACTGCTACCTGTGTATGTGCATCTGAATTTACTGGCGATGGTTACGTCGAATGCACGAGAGGTATAACAAATTTTCTTTCTTAATTATGAATATAATAAATCAAACATTGTTTAGAACTTGCCCCATTCGATTTTTCGTAAGTTTTACAAAATTATAAATGATATATTTATTATTTCCAGTTACGTTCCTGCCATTACCACCAAATCAACCGGAATGTTATAGCAACAGCGATTGTGCTCAAGACAAACAATGCATTAATTCTCTTTGCTTAAATCCTTGTATTGCTGCTAAACCCTGCGGAAAGAACTCTCTTTGCCATGTAGAAAATCATGATTCTATTTGTAAATGTCCACAAAGTTACATCGGTGATCCTAGAATAAATTGCATACCACGTAAGTTAAACGTTATTAACAAAAAGTATTATAACAAATATTGATTAAAAAATAAATTTAATGTCTTAACTAAAATTATTGTTATAGCTGAAATTGTTACGGAATGTTCGTCCAATAGTGATTGCGCCGGAAATACTGCATGTTTTAACGGTGTCTGTATAAATCCGTGCAACTGTGGACCAAATGCAAAATGCATAGTGGCCAATCATTATCCGTCATGCTTGTGTCCACATGGTTATTCTGGCAATCCACAACTTGGTTGTTTCAAACGTAAGTATTTCTCATAATTATATACATTGATACAGTACGAGTAATAATTTATATGCATTTACAGTTGATTGCGAGTCCGATAACGAATGTAATAATGCAGCAACTTGTTACAATGGACAATGCATTAATCCTTGTCTCCTGGACAACAAATGTGCCATCAATGCGGAATGTTACGGATCTAACCATCGTTCAGCTTGCCGTTGTGGTCCTGGTTACGTTGGAAATCCACAAATACATTGTGAAAGAATAGAATGTAACAACAATTACGATTGTCCGTCGAATCAGGCTTGTAAAAGTGGACGTTGCATTGATCCATGCTTCGAAAATTCTCCTTGCGCCCAAAACGCTCTTTGTTACGTCCAATCTCATCAAGCTTCTTGTCGTTGTCCAGTAAACATACCATCAGGAAATCCATATTCGTATTGTGAACGTTATCCATCCGGTGTTGAAGAAGAACCGGAATGCAGAATCGATGCTGATTGCAGTGATAAATTAGTATGCATCAGAAGTGAATGCATCGATCCATGCCCAGTCTTAAAACCATGTTTAGAAAATGCTCGTTGCGATGTCTTAGACACCGTACCTGTTCGAACCATGACTTGTACATGCCCAGAAGGATGGATCACTCATGTTGATGGAATATGTAGACCAAGTAAGTTGTTAACTTTTTATTTTCGTTAACAATTCGTACGATAATGTTTCTTTGGCTCGTTTTAACTGTGTATACACTTTGTATTTTATAGTACAATTAACAAACATCGGTGCTTGCGTTACAAACGATGAATGTAATGACAACGAAGCTTGCGTGAATAGACAATGCCGAGATCCTTGCAATTGCGGTACCAATGCAATATGTTTCGTAAAAAATCATAAGCCCATATGTTCTTGCAAAGAAGGCTACCAAGGTAATCCTGAAATTTCATGTGTTTCGGTGGAATGCCAACATGACTACGACTGTGCTCAAGATAAATCCTGCAAGAATAATTACTGCGTTGATCCATGCTTACTGACAGATATATGTGGTTTGAATGCCGAATGTTATGTAAGAAACCACGTAGCCGATTGTCGTTGTCGCAAAGGATATTATGGTAATCCTTTGGACAAATGTCGAGTTATTGGTTGTCACAGTAACGGAGATTGTCCTAGCGAGCATTCGTGTATCAACATGCAATGCATAGATCCTTGTCTTCACGACAATCCTTGTTCCTCTCGTGCCGAATGTAAAGTTCTTAATCATATCCCGATCTGTCGTTGCCCATCTCATTATACTGGAAATCCATATATCCTTTGCAAATTGGAAGAACAACCCGAGTGTAGAGAAGACAGCGATTGTCCAGACAAATTAGCATGTTTCAATCACAAATGCGAAGAACCTTGTCCGATCATGCAACCTTGTACTCCGCCATCAGAATGTAGAGTATTACCGACATCTCCTGTAAGAACGATGATTTGTGTTTGCCCAAGTGGATACGTTAGTAGTGGTAGTGGAACTTGTCAACCTACCACACCAATAGTTAAAATCGAATGTACAAAGGATAACGACTGTGCTCATGACAAATCTTGTATCAATGGTATATGTAGAAATCCATGTGCCTGTGGTCCCAATGCAATTTGCAATGTAGTCGATCATAAACCAGTATGTTCTTGTGTCTTGGGCTACGATGGAAGTGCGGACATCGCATGTACCGAAGGTAATATTTATTTACGATCTCTAAATGATAACTTTCAAGTTATTACTATGACTATTTTTGTGTCTCTAATCGTTTATTCTATACTTTAGTCACCAGTTGCCGCACGAATGAAGATTGTAGTGGAACACACGTATGCGTGAGGCATAATTGCATTCCTGCTTGTTCATCGACAACAATAACTTGTGGAAAAGGAGCAGAATGTCGAGCTATAAATCACAAAGCCATTTGCGAATGTCCGCCAGGCTTGAAAGGCAATCCAACAGTATCTTGTGTTTTATTAGGATGCAGAAGCAATACAGATTGTCCTACAAATAAAGCATGCATTAACAATCGCTGCGAAGATCCTTGCACGTCTAACCCATGTACTGGTAAAACTGAATGCAATGTATATAATCATGTTGTCGAGTGTTCTTGTCCTCCAGGATACATTGCTGATTCCAAATCCGGATGTATCCAAGGTAAAACATTACATATTTATAAGAAAACATTAAATAATTTTACTATATTACTGTAGTTACATATTTTTTTTGCCTTATTATAACTATTTTATCGTTTGCTTGCAGAAACTTGTAAAGCGGATTACGAGTGTCCACCACAAACTGCATGCTTCGATGGAGAATGTATAAATCCTTGCGTCAAAATTGCACCTTGCGGCGTAAATGCTATTTGCAAAGTATTAGACACCGAACCAGTCAGAACGATGATCTGCGATACAAGTAATTTATTATATTTTATAATTGTATTTAGTGATACATTCTATTCGGTGTATTATAACATGTATTTATTTTTCTTACAGAAGATATTTGCCCAGTCGAAAAAGGCCAAATACCTGACGAATACGGTAATTGCATTTGTCTACAACATATGGCTAAAGACCAACACGATGTTTGCGTACCGTGTCACGAAGAAACTGGAATGATCATTAATAATAAAGGATATTGTACTTGTGCTTTAGAGAAAGGATTTTTAATAGACGAATATGGTCGTTGCATATGTCCAACTAAAAATGGATACAGAATAACCGCTAATGGATATTGCAAACTCAGTAAGCATACAGTTTTTACATTAAACTATTTCCTCTTTTAATATTATATTAATAAACATTGACATAATATTGCAGTCGGAATAATAGGATGCAAGATAGATGACGATTGCGCAGATAATAGATACTGCGATTTAACAACAAGAACTTGCGAAGATCCTTGCTTAAAATTAATTAATCCTTGTAATGTAAATACAATTTGCAATGTAACGAGACATAAAGCTCATTGCCGTGAGTATAAAAAGAAAACAATCACATTAACATAGATTATATAATATTGTATGGCTAAAATTTGAATGAAATTTTTTTATTATATTCTCTATATAGAAGATTATGTCTCCAAAGAGAAAACACCCAAGACAGATTTCCCAACACCGGACATGGGCGTCAGTTGTTTATCGGACGGAGTTCAAGTTGAAATATATTTGCAAGATCACGAATTTGACGGGGTCTTGTACGTTAAAGGACGCAGCAAAGATGAACAATGTAGACGCGTTGTTTCAATACCCGCTGAAACTATACATAAAACTGATATAATATTTAAAGTTGCGTTCGGCAATTGCGGATTAATACATGTTAACGTAAGTACTTTTTGAGTAAATCTACTTTTTCTGAAATTATTTTAATTATACATTTGTCATTCTTAATATATTTATTATATTATCAATTAAATCAACAGGGACAAGCTAGTTTTATACTCGTTGTTCAGAAACATCCTAAATTAGTAACATACAAAGCACAGGCCTATCACATCAAATGTATCTATCAAACTGGCGAACAAAATGTTACACTTGGTTTTAATGTTTCAATGTTAACTACTGCTGGTACTATTGCAAATACTGGACCACCTCCAACGTGTGTAATGAAAATAGTTACTCAAAACGGAAATGAAATCAATTCTGCCGAAATAGGAGATAATCTTATGTTACAAGTTGAAGTTCAGCCATCATGTATGTATAATTTCTATTTCTTTTTTATACTATACATTTTTCAATAATAATGAATAACTAATTTCTTTTTTTTTTTGTTTTATTTTTCATTATTTCGATCTATAGCAATTTATGGAGGTTTCGCGAGAAATTGTGTTGCCAAAACAATGGAAGATAATATGGAAAACGAATATATCGTGACAGATGAAAATGGATGTGCAACGGATCCAACAATATTCGGAGAATGGGAACAGAATCATGAAACTCAGTCATTGATGGCTAGTTTTAATGCATTCAAGTTTCCCAGTAGCGATAATATCAGATTCCAATGTAACATACGAGTCTGTTTTGGACGATGTCAGCCTGTAAATATTTATTTAATAATTATTCTTATTATTTTTATCTCTGAAATAAATCCTGACAAAAATATTCATAAATAATTAAATATTAATTTTAGGTCAATTGTCGTGGATACAATGCATTTGGTCGCCGTCGCAGAGACGTCGAGGCAGAATCAAACAATACAGCCCTAAGTGTTTCTGACGATTTCGAAGGACAGCTTCGTGAAGAAATAACAATCGAATCTAACTTAATATTTACTTTAGAAAGAAGAGAAGAAAGATTAACAGCAGATCCAGCTGAAGGTATACCATTCAATTATTTATTTAATACAAAGGTGGGCAACTTCTTCGTTTCAAACTATATTCACTCCTCATCATCGATTACTATTCCAATAGATTATCGTGATACCAGTGATCTGTATGTTGCCCACCCCTGATATATTATGCGAGTTCAATAAATTAATCATATAATATTATAATTTTCAGTTCCTTCAGCTCAAAGGGTAGAAGACATTTGTGTTTCCATGGTTGGATTTATCATAGCGTTAGTAATAACAGCACTTTTAGCACTAGTTGCTGTTGCTATTGCTGTTTCATGCTGGTTAATGGCATATAGACGTCAGCCAAAGACTGCTGGACCACTGCCACATCCACCAGAGTTTCCAAATCCTTTGTTCACTACCGAATCGGTAGCTGAACCTTCTCCTGATTATCACTTATAATAAGATCTTCTCTCTTCCTATCTCTTTCTATCTATGTTTCCTTTTTTAGTATAATTATTTTATATATAATATAATTTTATAATCTCTCTTTTTTTTTTATCGCGGAATGCATTTCAGACCACTCTTCCTAACTTGGTCAGTCTTGTATTTCTAAATGCAACTCCTCCAATGACTACTTTTTAGAATATGCTCTCAAGGGTTTACATAATCAGTGTCACTATCTTTCTAAAAAAAAAATAACTTTACTATTACAAAATATGTATTTTCTATTTAAGGTGACGGGATTGCTTTATTATTTTATTCTCTCCCTTTCTTTCTCTCTGTCTCTCTCTCTCTCTCTCTCTCTCTCTCTCTCTCTCTCTCTCTCTCTCTCTCTTTTTCTAGGTCTCTTTCTATGTGTGTATACATGAAACAATTTTATTTTTCATGAGCATCATCCTCTGTATTATTTTTTCTAGTCAGTGGAGGATTTGTTTTATACACAACACATTCACATACACGAAATCGCGAATTTATTTGCGTGTAAAGTCAAACAAAGTAGTTTAATGTAGACTTGTTTTTTTTTATTATTATTATTATTATAAAAATAGACAATTGTATATTTTAACTAATGCCAATTAAAATATATTGCAAATGTTCTTTTTTTTCGATCAAATGGTTCTATAAAAGTGGCGAAATCGCGATGCCAAATAATTGTGCAGATATTGTTAAAATAGTTTTTGACAAATTATTATACATTTAAAATAAAGTACATATATATATATTATATATAATATATATTAGAAGATAAAGACAAAATAATAAGATTAAATAACATTAAACATGTAACATACAAATCACATACGAACACTTGTAAAGTAGTAACATTTGCGATTACAAAATTTAAAAAAACATTTTACAAAATAATTATGCGATATTTATTAAATGCATCCATATTCCATAAAAATATGAATTTCATAATTTAGTATTGTACTTTTAAGTTGTAAGAATTACTATTTTATCACAACATAATCGATCTTTCATTTTTTAAGATACATGCAAATGAAAGAATTGATATTAAGGTAAGTGTGCAAATATATAAAATAATTTTAATTTAATTTAAATTATTTAAATAAATTCTTATACAAGTTTTTTAATATCATCGATAGTTGGTTGACCGTCTAGCGGAGAATTCCATAGCATATGTAACTTACATTAAATACAAAAGCAGTTCATTCAAACACATTTTATAGAAATTATCCTTTAATAACTGCTATTGGCCTCAGTTTAATACACTTTTTCGAGATACCAGCAGAATGGCACGTGTTCACAACATCCGTTACATTTTTATAAGATTCAGGAGCCTCTTCCATAACTAATTTTGGTGAGGCAACTCTAATGGATATACCTAAACTTTCTAATTTATTTAGAACATCTTTGTAATCTAAATTTCTTCGTGATTTGGCCCTAGACAAGGCACGACCCTAAATATATCAAAGAAAAATACAAAATTTAATGAAATTTGTTTTCGTTTAAATAATATTAAAAACAACAGAATAAATTTAAAATATAACTTACAGCTCCATGGCACGTAGATCCAAATGTTTCTTGCATTCCTTGTTCAGTTCCGGTAAGAACATAACTGCATGTTCCCATAGTACCGCCGATTAAAACCGGCTGACCTGTTAACTGATAATCTACAGGAATTAATGGATGATGAGGTGGAAAAGCCCTGGTTGATCCCTTAGTTGAAAGAAAAAAATAAGTTAGTTTCTTTTATCTATTATACAGGGTGTCCCACATAACTCTAGTCACGATTTTTCAAGAACTTGCGAAACCCTGACAAAAAAATACTTTAAACAAAAGTTGATCTGTTTTTGATTGACTATACATTGCAATAAAAAAAAGTTCGACAAAAATTTTGTATACAGGTGCCTCTCTGGGTACTTTGCAGCATACAGATTTGCTGCTTCACGTGCATTCCTTTTACATTCACCAAATATTAGCAACATATCAACCCCCAATTATGTAGAATACCCTGTATATTTATAAGACAAAATATATCATATATTACAACTTACCTTCCTATGAACTAAAAGGGTTTTCGGTTTGCCGTCGACCAAATGTTCTTCAATTTTAGCTACGTTATGCGATACATCGTAAATAACATGCATGTCCAAGTCATCTGGAGAAAGATTAAATTGTTTTGCAAATGCCTATAAATAAAATCAAAAATGAAAAATGTACGCGTAATTGAATTTTTTATTTATATTTATATTTTTGTAGACACAAACCTGTCGAGTAAGAAATGTCATAGAACTTCGATTGACCCATGCAAAATTAGCAGCAGCCGACATTGCTTTTAAATAATCTTGGCCCTCCTGAGATTTAATATGAGCGCAAGCTAATTGTCTATCATTTGTCTCGATATTATCCCTTTTCATAGCTTTCTCCATTTGCACGAGTGCATCTAAAAACGAAAAAGAAAAAGAAAAAGAAAAGAAATGATTATAAGATAAATAATGAAATAAAGTAAAAAATATTTCTCTATTATTAAATTTTTTCTTTCATTCAAATTACCTGTAGCAACTTGATGTCCAAAACCTCTGCTTCCTGAATGAATCATCACACAGATTTGGCCCTTTTGTTCTATACCCATCTTACATGCAGCCCATTTATCATAAATTTCATCTACGACTTGAATCTCAGCATAATGATTACCCGCACCTAATGTACCTAACTAAAATAATATTACTATTATTACAAGGACATCAACCCTTTGCACATCAAGCAATTTGATTATACGTTGGGACGTAGTACAGATGATCTTACGAGTGCAAAGGGCTTATTAATATAGTATTGATGTTATTTTAAAAATTTACCTGAGGAAGACCACGTTTCTTTGCTCTCATTGACACTTTCGAAGGATCAGCATTTAACATTCTACCATATTCTTCGCAATGTTCTTTATCCTCTGCCCAAATGTAGCCTATAATTAACATCAGAATGATAATCTTGATATTCAAATTATTCAACAGACATTTCATTTATTAAATTTTAATGAAATATTTACCTTCTCTCAAAGACCAATCCATACCCATCTCCAATGCCTCTTCTAAATCTTTAGCATTCATTGGTATAATCCCTTTAGATCCGACTCCTACCGGAATATGATCAAACATACTTTGCGCAAGTTGTTCCTATTACATGTAATATTGTATTCAAACATAATTTAACAAATTGGATTATAAAATATATACAAATTATATAATTGAATACCTTAATAGGTAGAACGTCTTCTTGAAACAAATTTGTTCTTAACAAACGTACACCACAATTAATATCAAATCCTACTCCACCTGGTGATACTATTGACTTTGGATCATTTAAATCAAACGCTGCCATATTTCCTGTATAGTAAATTAATATATTATTTCTATGATAAATCATGTAAATAAAAAAGACATTTAGAAAGAAAATACTATACCAATAGCAAAACCATATCCAGAATGAACATCGGGTAACCCAACTGATCTTCCAACAATTCCAGGTAAAGCAGCTACGTTAGCAATCTGTTTCATACCTGGAAGAAAACCTCCAACTGCACCTGGCCTGCATGCATTTTTTAATTCGTCGAACATTAAACGTTCTAACGTATTGTTAACATAAAATATTCCTTCGACCTAAATAATATTCATACTAATTAATTAACTTTACAAACTAAATAGATAAATTTGAATAAAAGTATTTTTTGTAAATGTATACCTTCATATTAGGTTGGAAACCTTTTTTAATTCTCCAAGACCATTGATTTATTTTTTCTAAGTACTTAAGTTCCTCCTGATACTGTCTGACAACCATTTTACTAAAAATCAAATATCAATTAATATAATATTTATAAATTAATTTAATAACTAAATATATGTTAACAATTACGATTAACGAAGAAATGATATTTTTTATGATAATATATTAAACTTACAATAATTAAGTGTGCAATTATAAATTGGAAAATAATTATTTCAATTATTATTTACACGTAAGATCTTTTTTAATAAACTTTTAAAACACCGGTTTGTATCTCGTAAGATAATGCAACGACTACTGAAATTTACTTTGACAGTCTGAAAAAAGTAACCAGTCTTACCATATGTTAAATGTTACCAGATAAAATCAGTGTTACCAAAGAAATTTCTGCGCATGCAATGTAACACTGCATATACTGAATTATCAAATATAATTTTCGTTTAATATTTCATAAATAAATAATTATAAAAAAATACTACATTTAAAATATATTTTTTAAATTTATACATAAGGCAAAAGTATTTTTAAAACACATAATTGACAAGTAAGGTAATAAAAATCGATTGCGATCAAATAATATTTATTTTCTTTAATTCTATTTACAACTACGTGTAATATTTTATCTACTTTGCTTGTAAATGTTATATATATATATTTATAAATTAATTAAATAATTTTATTGTAATGATTTATATATTAAGCATATACGTCACAAATTTCAGTATTTATTTATGACATATCTCATAATTTAAATCGCTCAAAAGCTGTCATTTGCTCGTTGCTGGAAGCAAGTCTTTGTGATAGTAATTTATATAATGTTTTTAAATGCAGAAAATAAAATAATTGAGTATAAAAAGAGATTAAGAAAGAGAGAAAGTTATAGTAATAAAGTACGTATATCAAAACGAGGATATTGTAATATTCCTCTAAAGCTATGATTTGAAAAGATTGTATATATTGTAAACAGTAACAGTGCAAACAATTATTATATATTATGTACTTTATATATATATATATTATATACTATATGCAGATAATTAATTTTGGAAAAGTGTACGAGTAAATTCAATGTAATCCAATGCTCCTGTAATTGGTCTTTCCGTTTTAGGATCAACGTATGCTTTCATACGTGCCACGCAGTAATCAGCCATTTCTTTCGTAAGATTCTGAAAAATTAATAAAAGAAACAAATTACATATAACGATGTAATAAAAATCATTTACAAATTAGAATGAAAGTATACACTTGTATGAAATTCTACGTACGGCATATAATTCTTCCTTCGTTACATATGGCCGATCTGCCGCTGTAATTGCACGGAAGGCATTTTCAATTTCTTCAGAACTCTGTACATTTTCCGTTTCTTTGCTTATCATAAACGCCATGTATTCTTGTAACGAAACGTAACCATCTCTGTTCGGATCTACGATATCTGCGAATAAACAAATTCCATGGTAAATGTGCGATATTATGGAAAACACTGAAATGTAAAAATGATTGTTGTAAATAAGAAATCAACGTACCAAGTATGTTCTCAAATTCTGGATCAGGTTGACCCTCTTCGACCATTGGCAAATCATATCCAAGAGCCCTCAAACATGATTTAAATTCTTGATGATTCAATCGTCCACTCTTATCTTTATCAAAGTGTTTGAACATCATAGAGAATTCTTTAAGAGCGTCTTCAGAAACACCAGATTGATTTCTTGCTTGAATTTGTTGTTCGAGATTATGTTGCATACGCATTCCAAGTTGATCTAATTGATCCCATTGTTGTGCCAATCCGACTGTACTATGTTCGGTATAACGATTATCGAGAATTAGATGTTCTTCCAATATTGCACCGAGGTCCTCGATCTTCTTCAAATCTTGACGACGAGCTCGTACTTCCTGAGTTTTTCTCTGTAATAATTTAATCACGTATATACCAAGATTAATCGTTTTATCTTACAATTAGATATAATCTTGAAATTTTTCTTACAATATTATACATACCTTAGTTGCTTCCAATTGTTGTTCCAAAGAACCGGAACCTTCCATCATAGATGTTCTATAAAATATTAAAAAGATATAATAATCAAAATTATCATGAAATCAATTTTAATTTTAAATAATGAAAATATAAATTATGATATACCTTGTTTCTGCCAACCATTGATGGAACGCATTAGCATGCTTAGCGAATTCTTTTCGTAATTTATCGTTTTCTTCTTGTCGTTGGGCTTCCTTCGCAAGCTCTATATCACGTTCTTTGATAATCTTTTGCAAATTACGCCAGGTATCTTCCAGTGCTTCCATTGTAAACCACGTATACGGATTTGGACCAACATTGAAGCTCTTTATTTGTCTGTCAAGTGCCGCAAGTGCTTGGAAATCAGCTTCAGCAGAAGACAAACTTGCTTGGAATTGAGCATGAGCTTCTCGTAATGCACGGATTTCTTCGATGCTGTTACATCTAACTGGATCGGTTAAATCTTCCTCAGCATTTTCAAACCATGAGTTGAAAGCAGAAGCTTTCTTGGCAAATGTAAGATAAAGTTCCTCGATTTGTCTGAACTGATCTTGCATTCTTAACAATCGCTGTTTACGAGCGTCAGAATCTGCCAAGAGTTTCTGCCAACGAGTGATCACGTCAGCATGACGTTTTTGAATACTCGGAGTTTGATCGTGTCCAGCATCAACGAGCATTTCTTTCAAAGATGTTATATTTTGAATACCCTCGTGTTCAAACGCGTGTAATCCGGCATCGAAAGTTTCCTGCTTGGTTAATAAAGTTTGAACGGTTGATAAATCACGTCCAAACTCTTCTGAACGTACGTGAGTTTCTTTGTCAGCGATCCATGATTCAACGACATCAGCTTTCCACATAAACTGCAAATATGCCGAATTATCATTGAGACGGGTCTTCCTTCTTGCTGCAAGTGCACCAAGTTGTTCCAATTTGTTACGCAATTGCGTACATCTCTGTCCAATAGCATCAGCTCGATGATTACCAGCATTGATCAGTGCCTCCCCAGCTTCACAAATGTCTTTGCAGCGTTCTCCATGAGCAGCGAAATCAGTTTCAAAGGCATCATGTTTCTTTAACAAACCTTGAACAGCAGCCATTGTATCACCGTAGTCTTCTACTGAAAGCAATTGTTGTTTTTCAGTGATCCAAGCTTCTTCTTCTTCAACCTTCGCCAAGAACTGTTGATAAGTCAGAGATTCATCCAATTTTTGTCCTCTATTAGCAGCCAATTGTTTAAGTTCAGACCAAGCTTGATTGAGAAGCTTCAAACGTTGTTCAATCTCATGTGCACCCAAGTTAGATACATCCATCAATTTTTCACCTGCCTCTTGAACTGCTTGAATAGCAGGTTCGTGACTACCAAGTTCAGCTTCTAATCTCTTATGCTTCTTCTTAAGATTCTGTACGCCTGTTAAGTCACGACCATAATCGTCAGATCCAACCAATAATTTCTTCTCTTTGATCCAAGATTCTTCATCAGCGATGTCACGGAAGAATTGATGCAAAGTATTAGCTTCGTTTAATCTCGCTTGTCTATGAGCAGCAAGATTTCTGATACGTTCGTATCGTTCGTTTATGCTCTGTCTCTTTTCTTGAATACCAGTTGCATCGAATTGTCCACTTTCAATGAGAGAATCAGCTTGAGCATTCATATCCTTGATTCTTTCTTCGTGAGCCTGAATATCCGCTTCGACCAATTGATGTTTCTTCATCAAATTTTGCACAGATGCCAAATCTTTGCCAGCATCTTCAGAAGTTAATAAACTTTCAACTTCGCCAAGCCAAAAATCTAAATCTTTAACTGCCGCAATGTATGTACGTTGCTTGTTGGCTTCTTTCAATTTCATGGATTTTTCTGTAGTCTTTTGGGTCAAGTATTCCCATTGATCGGCAATAGATGCTAATCTCTTTTGAACCGCATCTTCTGAGCCCGCACATTGATGTTTCTCTATCAAATTTCCTCCCATTGCTAGAACCGACTGAATTCTGTCAGCATTAGCTGCAAGTTCGGCTTCGAATGCTTGATGTTTCTGATGTTTCGACTGTATATTAGCGGGATCTTTGTAATTTTCTTCCGTGGCTAATTGCAATTTTTCGGCTATCCAATTTTCTATTTCATCGGCGTCTCGAGAGAATTGTTGAAGAGTCTGAGATTCTCCTAGTTTCGATCGTTTTTCTATAAGAGCGTCTTTCAAATCTTTCCAGCGATCCAACACTTGACAACGTTTATCGTCTATGGGTTTGGCTGCGTAATGTTCAGCTGCTATCAATTGATCGGCCAAAGTTTGTAAAGTACCGATTTTCTCTTCGTGCGCATTTATAGCTTTATCGAAATCTTCGTGTTTTTTGATCAATGCCTCAACGTTATCGTTGCTGTCAACAGTATCCGCACTTTTCAGGAAAGCTTCTCGTGCGCTCATCCAATTTTCTGCCTGTTCACAGTCTCTGCAGAATAATTGTAGTTCCAAATTCTGATCTAATTGCATGCGTCGTTGAATCCAAGCCTTTTCTAATTCTTGACGAGCTTCAGCCATTGATTCTAATTTCTCCTGGATTTCTACACTGGCGTAATGACTCGATTGCAATAATTGTTGGCCAAATAATTCAAATGCCTGGAACGTTCCAGCCCTGGCATCGATTTCCATTCGGTGTTCCTGTAAATTAATATTACAAATTAAATTAATCAAATGATATTGAAAAAATATCTTTGCTTAAAAAAAGAACCCTGCATTTTTTCTGTATCTTCATATATATATGAAACGCATAATGATATTGTTATGTATCATTTCAATCCACTCAATAATAAATACTATAAGCAACAAAAAACTAATAAGCTAAAAATTATTGAGATGGTTAATGAGCTAATATTTTCACGGACAAAAAAACCCGATCGCTTTTTTCTTATTCCAATGAGCTTTGATATTATAAGATATATGAGTGACAATTAATTTAACGCATTTAACAGTGAACGATCTAGTGGGACTACGAGGAATTAAATATTTTCTGATAGAATAAACAATAAAAGAAGTTTACCTGATGACGTTCGAGCAATGCCTCAGCTCCTGTAACGTCCGACGCGAGTTCTTCGGAAGCAACAAGACCCATCATCGAATTGATCCATGCCATCAAATCGCGATAATCGCTGAGGAACCGTTGCAAGTCATAAGAGTCCAATAATTTTTCTTTTCTACTATTGGCTTTAGCTGTAAGTTGAGTCCATTCCTCGTTAATTTCTTTTTGTTTAGCATAAGTTTGTTCAGCAGTTTCCGGATGAGATTGCATCAAACGATTCGCTGTTTCA